AATATATTTATTTATTTAAAGTAACTAATGTTTTAATCATATACTCTACGACACTGGTCACTCATTTCCACTCAAAATACCTACATAATCGGATTAAAAGTTTTATAGCTGTATTGTATTTCTTCAGATACAAGGTGGGTTAGTCGAAAACATCTTAAACTGCCAGTTTTAGTTTGGTTTTTGTTATTATATCATATTAGCTGTCCTCTCTGTATTTCAGTTCTCTAATGAGGGTCAAACTTGCAGTGAGCTATCAACAAATTATGAACGGACTATAGGTTGGTATACCTGCATGGGTGGTACACCTGGATGGTTTACCTGTATGGGATATATATATAGCATAAATACCGTTAGCTTCGCGTTAGTTTCTAGTTTAATCTTCATTTCTGAATATGATCACTTGGTGATTGAAACAGGTGTCGAGATGTTGAAAATAACGATTTGGTGTTGGAAAAAAACTCCAGTAATATTCATTACTACACCAAAGGTTCCAAACAGTGCATCATAACTTTTCTTCAATTCAACCGACCTTGTAGGTCTCACCGTTTCCAAGATAGTAATAGGGAGATCAGCTAAAAAACGGGCTGGTATTGTTATATATTTGGCGTCACTAATTGAAAAATATCGAATGATTTATGAGTATATTGCCTATTTGTTCAGATTATTGTATCAGAAGGTATTTGGTGAGATTACTTCATGATAAGAAGAGGTGATAAAATCGATAATTTTGTGTGCTCATACAAAGCCGTAAAAACGTTGGTTTTATACTCTCATGGCTCATGTATTCGTTGTGGCATGTATAATGCTATAAAATGACAAATTAATAGACTGCATTTCACATACCAGAAACATCCACACACGCCACAGTGAAATAGTGATAATGACCCTTGTTTATTAGTGAAAATAAATGAATGATGACTTTTTAAATACTAGGTCGGGCGTAATAAAAAGTAGTTTATCAGCAGCAAATACCCCCAGGAGCTTTCATCGCCTGTAGAGAAACATGAAAATTCTATAAAAATGAATATTGTAATGCACTTGCATGCGTCGATTTACAAAGTGCATCGCTCGTTTACATCAAGCCCTGTTCATGCAAGGTTTGGCTCTATAAGCGTAATTGAATTAATAGCTGTCGAGTACTCGTGAAAGTAATATTCGATTCGACTGATTCACAGCGTAGGTACTCACTGATTCTCATTGAAAAGAACATTGACTACCAATCAAAAAAATCTTTCCAATAGTATTTAGAGAAAGTGCAGTTGTAAATATTCAACTACTTTAAATTTTCGAACGGGGAAGAAATCGGTCCCTGACAGATCTACAGGGTGTCCCAAACCTCTGACAGAATTCGAAATCTCCCTTATCCCAACAGTTACAGAAAAAAGTTACTATGATGAATTTTAGGCACCCCCAAGATCCAGGTGTTATTATGTGATGACACCATAATATTATGAAACGCCCTATATTCAACTGCATTTATAAAATATACATAAAGCAATAAAATACAATGTGAGAATAAAGTAACATCAAAAACAATACAAAATATGATGAATCCTGAAAAATGCTTATTATGATCACTGAATTCAAATTATAATCATTGAATTCAACAATTTTTTTTGCTCACAAGATGCTCATCACTTGAATCATCTTCGAACGGATGAACATTTTCAGAAGCATCGATCTGAACTTCATCTTGTAAATATTTATCTTCTACTTCTACACATTTTTTCACATCATCTAGTTTGAATGTGATATTTTCTTGTCTAACTTTGTTTTCAACAGTTGCCCATATCAGTTCAATGGGGTTTAAATCCGGGTGGCGCGTACTATAACTGTAGTTTGTAAAAACATAAAAGACAACACATGACAATCAGCAGGGTTGCCTTTTCTACACTCACCCGATTGTATCTGTCAATTTTGGAACCCTTGTATAGACATATTCTCCTGGCGATGACCACAGCCCGTGGGAACCATAAGCTGAAAATACCACAGGGTGTGAACCTTGTGTACGGACGATTTGTGGAAATTTTGGTACTCTGTGGGCAGTTTTTTTATTTTCTTGTGCATCAAATTTGAAATATCTTCCCTTCTCATTATAAGTGAAGTAGCCACCGAAATCGTGGATGGACAAATACAGCTTATCAGGAACGTTTTTTCCAGAAAATGACAGGCTCATATGTTCCCAGTCACCAACATGGTTGCCCAATGTCTTTACTCTGCCAAGACATCTATTGAATAGGTTCAGGAAAGGAACTTTGCCTGAAACGTTATGGAACGAATTATTTGCGATTTGAAATTCTTCGTTTGGCAATGTATAGAAGGTAGTTACAACTAGAACAACTCAAAAATGTAGACTATATTTTAGACTATATTTTTCAATGTGGCATGCATTATCATTTTTACAACATTGAAATGATATTTTTTCAAAAAATATAGAGATTTAATACTATAATGGGTAATTGTCAAGCTCTGACCACTATGTCTTTGATTCTGCCTGAATTCAAAGCCTCAAACAATAATATACACACATCGGAAAAGTCTAGGACAATGGCAATAATTTTTTTTTAGATCGCTTTAGGGAAAAAAAGTTGACGAGTGATTATTAAACGAATGTGACTTACAACAAAATTTATTAAATGATCAAAAATACTGAGTGCGCATATAAGCAAAACTAAAAAAAAATATGGCTCTTCTTTGGCACCCCGAAAAAAAATCATAATACAAAAAAAATTGGAATCAGTACAAAGTATGGCCTCCACGCTGGTTTATTACAAAATCGCATTGGAATATGAAAATTCAAAAAAAAAATAATTTCGAATTTTGAGTTGAAATTTGGTTCGTAGGCTCAAAATGTTTTTCAAGCAATTTTTTCAAATAACTTATTTCAGAATCTCCAACGTGAAGCACAAATACCGTGAATTTGTTTTTTCGCGAGATGGCAGTAGACTAGGTTTAGGGCTATCACTTGGCCTAATATTCGAAAAAGTGCGACCCTTGAAGGTCTACACCTGTACCACAACTCAAATCTCTGCTTTCAAAAATGACTAAAATATAGGGGTGTCTACATCTCAAGAGTGTCTCGTTTCTTTAACGACTGTCTACCTAGTTACTATCTAATAACTACACTTGAGACCTCGAAAATCTATTTTAAAAATTCCAATGTTTTAAAGGTCCAAAGGACGAGTGTCTTTGTCTCAAACGACGAGTCCAGAGGACAAGTGGTTTTATATAACATAATTTATATCTACTTCACCAGAATTTGAGTTGAAACAATGGAATTTTTTCAATCTGATGGTATTTGTTGAAATTAATTTCTGAAATATTCTCCGCTGAATGTATTAATATGAAAACAAAATTCCAATCCTCATATTGAATGAATTCCATTACCTCGATAACGAAAAATTTCAGCAAGAAAATTTGTTTGCCGTGCCTTACTTTACGCGGCTACATGCATCACTAATGCGTCTCGTATTCTTTGGATTTCATGAAGTTCAAAATAACATTTCCATTCGAATTGGAAATGTCTTACTCTACAAGGAACCTTAAATTATGTTCTTGGGATTACTGGATATCATGTGAGTTTACGCTTGAGGAAGCTATGGTTTGAAATCTAAAAATCTGTTTCTTCGTTAACCAGCTGTCGCACCTCTACGAACAACAACCCTCAGAAGTCGAAACTTGTGCGAGCTAATAGCAAGTAAAAATCGATCGTTCAGCCATAAAATTATTCAATTATGTTGTTACTATATATTTATGGTTCCCAAAAGTTGTATGAACGTTTCATAGCATCAACTTCAAAGAACAAGCGCGTAAATGATCTTCAGAGATATACCGAATTGATAATCTCATCCTGAATGAAACCAATAGGTAGGTTCCCGACAGAGATTGAAGTGAGTTACTATTAGACCAATTGCATACAAAATCGCATCCATTTCAATTGCAAATAGAGACATAGTGATTAGTAAGTTATGTAAAATTGGTGTTAGAGGGTTCCTTCTCAACTAGATAAAATCTTCAATAGAAGCTAGAGAAATGGTAGTGACTACGAATATTCAAAATATTATCCTTGGGGTACCACAAGGGTCCATTTCAGATCCACTGCTTTTCTTCATTTATATAAATGACCAACCGAAGTATGTAAAAATAGATTTCATTATCCTATTCACAGATAATACTACCATAACAGTTTCCGGAAATATTGTAGAGGAGCTAGAAAACAACATTAATTTAGTCATGGATGACATCCCAACCAGCAAAGTTGTTTTATAATTCCGTGNTATCTAATATTGAACTTGGAAAAATTTCAGAAAAATATTAGAAATATTAGAAAAATAACGCTCCTTCTGAAGAATGGGGTTGGGAGAAGGATAACTATTCAAAATCAATCAAAATTTGAGAACCTGCAGCTGAGAATGAAAAAATACTATAATGCGGTCGCCATAGTTATCACGTCAATATCTGATGAACTGTTGATAAATACATATACGACAAAAAAATTTCGAAAAGAAGGCACGCAAAACTGAATTTTTTATAAAAATATTACACGGATTTTTTTAAACAATATGAATAATTACCGAAATCAGAGCTGTTTCTGGAGTTTGTCTGTTTTACGTTTTCGTTGGCCACACTAACTCGTGAAGTCTGTTTTTCATATCCATTGGGGGTACCGTGGATACTTTTGTGTTCACTGGTGGAATGTGAACGTTACTCATTTCTTATAAACTATGAATCAAAATTATGTGATACCTATAGGAAAATAAAATTCGACTGGTTATTCGGTAGCCAAGCGGAAATTGAAGGCCGGCCCTGTTGTATTCATTAGGTACTTGAATGATAGCATAATTTTTTTTGGCAATAACTACTATAAAAGTGGTCTTAAATTTTTGAAAACAGCATCAGTCCAAGATATCCACGATGATTTCTGCAGCTTTTTCGTTTCTTCTTCTTCTGGCACCAGCCTTTGGAGGATATGTATTCCGTAAGTATAATAACATATATTTTCAACTGATATTTGGATAAGTTGAATATAATTTGCCTCTCATATTGTTTTCGATGTCATTTATATGTCCGTTTCTTTTTCGCCTAAATTTTTTTTCTATTCTCTTCCTAGATAAGTTATATTTCATTCCTACAGTGCGAAATTCAAATCTACTCACCATTTTCAATGTTTCACCCCTTAAGACTCATACTAGGAAAATATTGTGATGCTTCAATAAAATTGAAGCGTACTGTTTATTATTTGTTATTACAGAAATATTATGGAACGTTGTTCAGTTCGTTCCACTGTTTCAATTTTCTATCAATTCCATACGAATAAACCTCATGTGACATATTATACAGTGTGGTCTATTGGGTGTGAAAAACAAATACACTTTTTGATTCATTGTAGAATCGTAATTAGAACCGACAGGCAGTTAGGTCAAAAACTTTGAATTCGTTTAAGAATGAACTTATTATATTTCGGAAAATGAAAAAATGTTACTCAGAAAAGTTATACTGAAATAGAAATCAGGTATATTGTATTTTGTATTTGTCATGATTGTGTCCTCTTTTAGTCTACGTTAATGATAGAAAAGCTGATGATTCTACGGTTATTCTATCAGATTCAGATGATAATCGTTTGGAAAAAAAAAGCAGAGTATATATGAACCAACTAATTGCCTACAATAGTGGTAATGACTGACTTTTCAACCAGTCTGAAACACAAATCGTTAGGTTTCGTACTAGATAAAAAACTTTTTGGCAAAAACTCACTTTTACATCCGATAATGAACTGAAGGGTTGCCGGTGAAACAGTAAAATTCAAAGGTTTATATGTTGAAGAAATCTCATTGTGAACAAAAAGTGTCAAAGTTAAGTAGCATCATATTTCTTTTGAAGAATTTCAAAGATGTACAAAATCAGTTGATGAATTTCTATCACTCTCCATGTAAATTCACAACTGAGGTATGGCTTGTGTCTGTGGGGTAATACTATCCATGCATGGAATTTTTCATTAGGCAAAAAAAATTTTGAAACTCATTTAAAAATAATGACAAATTTTACAGAAAATCCAATATTTATACATTGAATACGAAGCAAAAAATGATCTTCACGAAACGCAATATTACTTCATTGCATTGGACCTAGAATATACAACAAACTTTCCGAAAATGTTAAAGCAACAAAAACATTATTTCGCTTCAGAAAAGCTTAAGGTTATTTTCTATTGGAAAATATTTATACTCACTAGATGAGTATTTTGAAAGAGGGTTTTTATAATAATTCGTTCTTGTTAAATATATTACCCAGATATACTTTTCAGGTAACTGCTAATATGTTTTTATCTGTTACAATATTCACCGGAGTTATGAAATTTCACACATGATTCTTTATAACTCTTGAGAAAAAATCATGGATACAAGCCAAAATTATCTTGTTCATTGTTCATTCATCATAGAAATAAACTGTGTGATTTGAGGTATCGTGTGACATTAGTTGATTTACTTTCCTAATAAAATGATGTTCATTAACTCCTAATTTTAAATTTCTGGCCACGTTTTTGTCACTATGTATAGTGGAATGGTTAATAACAAACTATCAACTACTATAGAACAATATTGAATATTGTTGTTTTTTCTTCAAAATTAAGTTGTATCAATCAAATTCATACTTGTATTCAGTTGAAGTCTACGTTTACAATATTAACGTTAATTTGGTTTGATAAAAAGTGATAATGGGACATTGGATTTGGCCTCACTGAAATGATATTTTTCAGCTGACGACTTTCAACTCTGCAGGAGAGATGACAAGAATTTGGATGGATGTGTTCTTAGCGCTCTTCGAGATGCTTTACCAAAGCTAGCAAAGGAAGGTGAGTTAGTTTTTGAGAAAAATACCACTATTTCAGAGATTTCCATGATAATAAAAGTTTATAGTTCATTATATAGTTTATGATCATCACTATAAATTATAAAACAAATTTTTCCTGGAGTCAATCAAGTCAAAAACTACCGAACAGATTTCCTTATGGTTTCGATGATGGACAATTTTCGAAAAATAAAAATTCGTATCGCAGTCCGTACGGCATGTCACGCTAATTTGATGATTCACCCTGTTAGCACACTCCTCTGAATAGTCTTTCATCTCCTCTATCCCAACATCGACAGTCAGCACGTCAGAAACTGTGGATGGAAAAGCGTGGCTAACTTCACACTAATAAAATTTTGAACAAGTCTAAAAAAAATGTTTGCCTGTGAAGTGGATATACTACAATCTCGCCAGACAATTTTTGAAAATGAAAATATTCGCGAGTAATGCATTTCCATTCTAGGTATTTCTTCGCCAATCTCTCTCCGTACGGAACCCGTTTATTCCAAGTACTGTGAGTACCATATCAGGAACGTTGATCTTCTTTACGACGAATACTTCTTCAACTTGTCACACATAGGTCTCATCAATTCTACCGTAGTCAGTGCAAAGTAAGTTAATGATCTTTTTCTTAAACTATCAATTGAAATAGCTCCAGTTTTTGAAAAAGTCGATGTCAGAATAATATCTGTGAAAAAAGTTGTCAATGAATCGGAATATTATATATATATAAGAAACAGCAAGGGTCCAAGAATACTTTGAAGACGATCACTTGGTGATCAAAACACGTGTCGAGGTGTTGAAAATAACGATTTGGTGTTGGGAAAAAACTTCAGTAATATTCATTACTACACCGAAGGTTCCAAACAGTGCATTATAAATACAAAAGATGATTAGTGAATTTTTTCTTTGTGTTTTTATCAATTCATTAACTATTCATATACTCAGTATTTCTGGCACTCAATAACTTTACCTTTTTCCCAGCGCTGATCCGGTGAATTTGGCACTGAATTTCACAACCTTCAGCCCCTTTATGATGCAAATAGCTCCCTACATTGCTAACGGAAGTCTTCTATATAATGGAACCCGTGATCGCAATCCAATTTGGGGATATGGTATTTCCACAAAAAAATTATGTAAGTATCACCATTTACTTTCATTTCCAAAAAGTTTTTTCCGTTTCATTGTCATGTGTTCTTGTAGCAAAAAAACTGTCCGAAAACTGAACGAATTGAGTATCAAAGTTCTGTTTCACCCAACATATTCCCCAGACCTGACTTCATTCAAATCAGCATGCATATACTCCGGGAAGGTCTACTGATTCGGCCCTTCACCATGTGGTTGGCAGAATCGAAAGATCATTGGACAACAAAGAATCCACCCTGGGTATAGTCATAGATATCGAGGAAGCGTTTGATAAAACAACCTTCCCAATAATTACCCAGCAACTACACTCCAGGAATGTACCCCTAGTAGTAGGAGAATGAATACTCAAGATGCTCTCTAGTAGAGCAATAAGTATCAATGTAGAAGACATTATAGTGAGAGGACTTGTCATGACGAGATGTCCACAGGGAGGGGTCTTATCATCCCTTCTTTGGATCATAGGTCTGGATACCCTAATCAATCACCTCAACAATAATGTGCGATAGAATGCAGAATGAGCTCAAATTAATAGAAACATGGTGTAAGGAACACTCACTGTCGATCAATCCCAAAAAGACTGAGATGGTATTTTTCACCAGCAAAAGAAGTTTATCGTGCTTAAAACCTCTCGAACTCTTCAAAAGCAAACTAAACTTCTCTAAAGAGGTGAAATACCTTGCTATTATCCTCGACACGGAGCTAACATGGAACTCTCACCTACAGAGTAGAGCTAAAAGAGCATATGTGGCTTATGAGCAATGTCGAAGGACAGTGGGACGCGCATGGGGTCTTTGACCCCGTGTAATCATCTGGATCTACACTGCAATAATAAGACATATGTTAACGTACGGAGCCATTGCATGGGGACCGAAACTTCTACAGGCAACGGCCATCCAAAAATTAAATAAAATTCAGCGATTGGCTTGTTTGAATATCACAGGAGCCACGAGAACAACACCAATCGCGGCAATGGAATTAATTACTGGTCTGACCCCTCTGAACCTATACGTATCAAGGAGGTTGCGTTATTGGCCACGGCTGGTGTGAACCTCGGAGTAGGAATGGGTCAATTGAGGCTGAGCCTACTGCAAAACATCTGATGCAGGCAACCAGAGATGCAATTGAACCCAGGTTTGTGTTTAATGAACCCTCCAAAATACAAACAAAACAGAACACAGAGTCAGATGCTACAAATGCAATACGCATATATTCAGACGGCTCAAAAAGCAAAGAAGGCTCAGGATGTGGAGTGTACTCTAAATCACTTAGCCTAAGGATTAAGTGGGGAATGGGGAAAGACACTAGCGCGTGGTTCAAACAGAACTGGCTGGTATCTCAATCGCCACAAAAGAAATAATTTCTGGCTAAAACATAACAATTTGCACTGATAGCAGACAAGCCCTTGTAGCCTTGAACAGACAACGTGTTACCTTAGAGCTAGTACTAGACTGTCCCCAAGATTTAGCCAAAGCCTCAGTAGATAATAACATTATCCTGAGGTGGATTAAAGGGCACGGCAGGAGTAAAGGTAGTCCCATTGCCGACTCTTTAGCCAAGGAAGCGGCTGGTGGCACCTACGGCCTGATAACTTCGACAATTGCGGAATCAGGCGAACGTCACACCCATGCTCAATCTCTAAAGAGATGGGATGAAACCAGGATCACCCTTGGCGACCCTGGGAAGCTGGCGCCGACCAGGCGATGACCAGGAAAAATCTACGCTCAACAGTAGAATTTCTGACTGGCCGCTGTCAGCTGAGGAAACACCCACCAATATGGGGCTAGTGGGCACACCTATGCAGGATGTGTGAACAGGAAGATGAAACTTTCAGGCATGTCCTACAGGATGGACGATGAGTTAGAAGGACAACTCCTCAGGAGAATGTACAATGGGTCACATGTGGGCTACACTTACCCTCCCTACTCTACAGATACAGACCTCTCGTCAACCAACTACCATTTTTTGAAGCAATTTGATATTTTCCTCACCGGCAGAACCTTCGCCAATTTTTATGCTGACGCAATGATTCGACTTGTGTGATAAAATGGCGCTCATTTCGAATAAATTGAATGAATATCCGCTGAGATATTTGAAATTTGAAGTAGACTCGTGAAAACGGCCAAAAATTTCAAAACAACCTAATAGCTTACGTTTTTGAATTGATATTATTTTGTGAAAAATTATGGCTGCACATGATCTCTGATACTGTCCGTTGTGCACGTTCCAGATCTTTTTTTCATCGTTTCAACTGTGTGAAAATAGGTGAAAGCAGTATGACGATTTTCCGTCACCCTGTGTCCATCTTTCAGTACAATGGTTGTTCACAACCATTCGTTTCGTAATCAGCTGGTTGAAATGAAAATATGATTAGGCTGAATCGATATATTTACGGGTTTTGGCAATGATGAAAAAATATTAACCTTCACTAATTTCTTGTATTTTCAGATAACGTGACCATAGTCCATCAGTTGAAATCAAACCAAGTGGTGAAGAATGGAGAAACTTATCTGGAAATAACGTCTTACGATACTTCTATACAAATGGATTTGATCACTTTGGATTATGGCAATCTCTACAACGGAACGAATCCTGAACTGGCAAAAGACACAAAGGATTATTTGAATGAAATTGCAATGTATCTCGTATCTGATATAGGCGGAAAAATTGAAATATTTTTTGGAGATATGTTCAAGACATACGCAAATCTGATTTTCGGCAGTGTTCCTCTTAACAAAATCGTTCCTGATTTCCAGTAAACGCAGTGAATTGATGATGAAGATATGCCTTTGAAACAAACATACAATGTACTCCACTGTAACCGTCGCCCTGATTTTTGTAGTATTCAAAGGTCATTCTTTCAATGAATATTTTCAATTATGTATTCAATAAACATCAAGCGAATCTTTCAGCAGATTTTTTCCACCTTTTTACAGAAAAGTCTACAGCATCGATTTTGTATGTAGGCAACGAATTCAACTGAATATTTTCATTTCAGTTCAAACCTAATATCGAGAAAAAAAAATTGAGAGCACATTCGAATTTTTGAATTTTTTTTTTGATACCTGCGCCAAAAAAGATATTCTGAAAGTTCAAAAGATACTTTGAATGTGGTGCTTAGGTCAAACACACACAAACACAAGCGGATGATTCAATTGCAACAATAGCCATAGAAAAAGCAAATCCAAAGAGCGCAAGGAAAATTTTCCAAATAACTATAGACCAGTCGTGTTGCTATCAGTGATATCACCATTTTTTCAAATATTTGGAAGGCTTCAACATCATGAGTGATTATCAATATGGCTTTCAGCTGCTCTTCGTTTTGAGGTTCAACTCAGTTCACTTCCAACTTCACTATTCCAGAACTGTTTCATTTGGAAATCTGCGTTTATGTGGAATGAACTCCCTGAGAAAGTTTTTCCAAACGGATTTAACCTCCAGCCAGGGCCATCGTTTTTGCAACTTGGGAAAAGTTTGGGAAATTTTGAGCCATGAAGATAAAAAATAATAATAGTAAAAAAATGAATGAAAATTTAAAAAAAATCAAAATGAGAGAAAAGAAGGGGAGAGGCAATAAAAGAACGGCAAGAACAAGGAGAACGTTGGGATTTCCCAACATGCATAACTTGGAGATCCAAAACTTTGAAATTCTGAGTTGCTTGAAAACTTCAAAAAAGTTTAATTTCTCCCAAGTAAAAGAACAGTCCTGAACAGTCCACAAATTTTGAAGTGACAATTTTACAAAATTCCCAACTCTTCGCTGTTTTTTCGACTTGGAAAGTTGGGAAATTTTGGGCCGTGAAGATAGAAAAAATAATAGTAGAAAACAGTGAGCACAATATTACCTAACTGTTGTTTCCTTTCATTTGTATTTATTATTCCTATACATGGTGGATATGGTGAAAGACCAAGGACCTTGGTCCAAACTAGAATAATTCTCATTATTGTTTTTATAATTACTAAATTTTTTGTTTGTTTGTGCATACCCTAACGGGCATGAGCATTCAGTCAATAGTTGGATAGCTAAGTGAGAAAATTAATATATTATAGTAGTAACTAATCCCTCGGCTTTCATTTTTTCGAAAGTTGGGAAATTTTGCTGGTGGGGTTGAAACAATTTGGCCTCCCTCCCACCCCCTGGTTTTTCTTTCCGCTACGGCCCTGCTTCCAGCGATTAAAATCCAATGTAAATCGCTATTTTCGTATAGGCACCGCAAAGGCAATCTGTTAAATGATCAAATCGATCTAGATTACTCACTGGTTTTCAAATTAGCGTATCCAAAATGTCACAAATGAACAAAATTGAAGTACCTCTATTATTACCTACAGTGAGGCTGATGTAATCATTTGTAGTTTACTGTATAATCTTGAAAATGTCCTTAAAGGACGAAACTGTAGTAACGGTAGTTACAAATAAAAGTGGTAAAAAGCATAAAAGTTTCAATTCTCATTTTTCAGGATGATTTCCTACCACATCCAAATTTAATTGTTGACAAATACAGCTTGTGACATCTATCCGTGAAAGTCACAACTAAGGCGCATTAAAAAGTATTTGAACAGTGGAGTTCGAGGTGTACTGAGTTGAATCTCTTTGTTCGGCAATATTCATATACATATATTCCAATTTTTTTTCGAGAGTTTTGGTGATTTGATGCTTGGACAAATTATAATTTTTCATTGTGGCCCTGATATTTGAGTACTTTGGACCCCAAGGTATTTTTGCCTATCAGAAAAATCACTTTAAATCCACTTTGTCAGTGAGAAATATCATGTGCCTACTCTCGAGATAACAAACACATAATTCTATTTTTTGCCAGAAACAGAGTGTGTTGAGATCGATTTAAGAGTTTCGATAAGATATCGTAGAAGTGAAAATGTGCTAATTTATGAAAGGTCAAAGGAATATGCGAAATGTTTTTTTGGGAACAAATAGTATCAATTTATTATATCGCAGAGATAAGGGGAACAATTTAACTGGTTTCTTACTTGATTATAATAATTTATCAACGTCTTATGACTTTCAGAGTGTTGGGTTTATCAAAATGGGTTTCCTTATATGTAAATGGTATATGAAAAAATTATTTGTTGCATATTTTTCACCGAAATAACTTGGGATTTTTTAACTCAATACCTCATCTGTTTGAACGTTTTCGGATATCTTACAAAGTTCTCATGCCTATTGAAAAAAATTTCCCAACACCAGAACAAAATTACGGTCTCTCGACGTACGTTTCGCTACTCAAGTTAGCGCCCTAAGGAGATCATTATGACTAAATTCCACTAATATGTTAGTGTTTTCATATTCTAGTTACCTAAATACTATAAATCGTATCTGTAGTAGTTAGGTAATAGTTAGTACTTAGGTAATACTAACCGGTAGTGTAGGTCTTACTAACAGGTAGTAGATAAATATTACGGGAGAACTACCAAATGACGAAACAAGTGTGCTTTCGCAGCAAAGCAATATATTGGATTCTTGGTTTTTTTTCAATAAATCGTTGATATACAATAAAAAGAGGGTTGGAGACAAAATTGATCCCTGAGAAAGGAAGCTGAAGCAAGTCTGGCCAGCAAACCCTTATGCCCCACACGGTCAAAGGCCTTAGAAATATCAAGCACAACAGCTCTTGGATCTCCATGTTTCTCGATTGCGTTGTTCAAAATATGGGTGACATACGATAGACGGTCTCTTGTTGATCTTTGTTTCCGAAAACCATAATGATAATCGCTCGAGATTTTGAAGCCTTTCAATTAATTGAGGATATGGCGGTTCACGACTTTCTCCGTGATTTTGGATATCACTGATAGCAAAGTGACTGGTCTATAGTTATTTGGAAGATTTTCCTTGCCCTTTTTGGGAATAAGCTGAACGCCAGCAATCTCCAAGAAGAAGGAAAAACCCTTTTCTTGTAAGACAGGTTGAAAAGTCTGCAAAATACTGGTGCGAGTTCATTTACGTACTTTCTAAGTACGATGACGGGCACTTCATCAGGGACAGACGCCTTGTTGATAATGAGCTGTGTTTCAAAATTCTGTATATTTTGTGTAGCTTCTTATTTGGAACCATTCACTGAAAATCGCATTGGAATATGAAAATTCAAAAAAAAATAATTTCGAATTTTGNCTTGAATAGGATATGCATTTGGATGAGAGCGAAATATAACGTTTTGAGTGTTTTGTTGTCTAATATGTCTCTTAGGACCTTGAAACGGTGCACCTATATAGCATAAATAGGGTTAGCTCGCATTAGTTTCTAATTTTAATATTCCTCTTTGAAGAGGATCACTTGGTGATCGAAACACGTGTCGAAGTGTTAAAAATAACGATTTGGTGTTAGGAAAAAACTCCAGTAATATTCATTACTACCCCAAAGGTTCCAAACAGTGCATCATAAGGTAGTAGATAGGTCACTAGCATATAGAAACACCAACATAGTAATAAAATTCAATCATAATGATCTCATGAGGACGCTAACATGGTTGGCGTAACGTACGTCGAGGGACCGTAATTTTGTTCTGGTTTTGCGGAATTGTCTGACCTGACCGTCTGTAGAAAACTGATACCTGGCTTTTTGTAGCATTGAATCGAACCTGGTTACTTTCACCATAATTCGAAATAATTTCTAGATCCTCATTAAGATATGCAACCTCCTGCTGCCGGTGAAGATGTGCAACCGCAGCCGATATCCTGGAATCCAAATGGAATGACGAAACAAGTGTGCTTTCGTCAGCAAAGCAATATATTAGATTCTTGTTTTTTTTTTTCAATAAATCGTTGATATACAATAGAAAGAGGGTTGGAGACAAAATTGATCCCTGAGAAAGGAAGCTGAAGCAAGTCTGGCCAGCAAACCCTTATGCCACACACGGTCAAAGGCATTAGAAATATCAAGCGCAACAGCTCTTGGATCTCCATGTTTCTCGATTGTGTTGTTCAAAATATGGGTTACATACGATAGACGGTCTCTTGTTGATCTTTGTTTCCGAAAACCATAATGATAATCGCTCAAGATTTTGAAGCCTTTCAATTAATTGAGGATATGGCGGTTCACGACTTTCTCCGTGATTTTGGATATCACTGATAGCAGAGTGACTGGTCTATAGTAATTTGGAAGATTTTCCTTGCCCTTTTTGGGAATAAGCTGAACGCCAGCAATCTTCCAAGAAGAAGGAAAAACCCTTTTCTTGTAAGACAGGTTGAAAAGTCTGCAAAATACTGGTGCGAGTTCATTTACGTACTTTCTAAGTACGATGAGATCTACAGAAACCAATTTTCCTACAAAAGTAAACGTAAATCACTTGTATGATCACGTGTTATGGCCGATACAGTTCAAATTGAGTCAAAGCGCTGCTGAAATAGCCCGAAAAATCAACCAGGATTTTGACAATGATGGTGTTTTTCTCAATTACAAAACACAAGTACTACAGAAAAATCCTCAAGGCGCTTTTAGAGTGGTTGAATCATCTAAAGGAATAATTCGGTCAGCTCAGTCTAAACTCCCTAGCCTGTAGGTTAATTTGCCCAATTCCTTGTATAAGGAAAGAAAGCTTTTCACATATAGTCAGTGGGCATACTTGAAGACTGGCTATAAATCAAATCATCTAAAGGAACAATTCGACTCAACTTTGGTTTTTTTTTCTTCTTTCTACTCACCACCCACTATATGAATGATCAATGTAATCCAGATTGATGACTACAACACAAGCATTGCTTAGGTGGCTCAGTCTGGACTCACAATTTCCAGTTTTAGTTAGTTCTTTCTTTTTTTTCTAGTTTCTGAAGTTATCCAGTTTCAATTTGGAATTCATATTGTGAATTATGCTTACCCGAATAAAATTTACTTTCTTACTCACTTACTTTATGTCAAAAATTGTAATTACACCATCTTTAAGCCCAAATAACAAAAAAGTCAATTTTAAAGAATTATAATTCAAAATTTTTCCTCTTTCTTGGTCATTGATTTCTGTAATGCGAACAAATATGCATCTCCCTGCTGAAGTGATATTTGTTTTTCAATAATTACTGCCGTGGTGTACAATAAAAATCTTGCTGTTTCCTCAATATTCCTTCGGGACCATCGAAAAATTCGCACAACTTCAGCTTGTCAAGTAAACAGTTTTTGGGATTTCCCCACTTTCCCCTGTAAATCATCCAATAGGGAAGCTTGCTCTTACCAAGATGATAAATTTTGATATTATTCCAGGTTCTCCAAGGAATGCCATACCTGGAATGAAATGCTTTCATGATTTTTCCAACAACAATAATGCGTCAATCAGTAAAACTAGCAAATCCTGTTTATATAATATATACAGTGCAGCTGTAAATGTTCCACTACTCTAAACTTTCGAACGAGGAGGAAATTGGTCCCTGACAGATCTACAGGGTGTCCCAAACCTCTGACAGAATTCGAAATCTCCCTTATCTCAACAGTTACAGAAAAAAATTACTATGATGAATTTTGAGCACCACCAAGATCCAGGTGTCATTATGTGATGACACCATAATGTTATGAAACGCCCTATATTCAACTGCATTTATAAAATATACATAAAACAATAAAATACAATGTGAGAATGAAGTAACATCAAAAACAATACAAAATATGATGAATCCTGAAAAATGATTATTATAATCACTAAATTCAAATTATAATCATTGAATTCAACAGTTTTTTTTGCTCACAAGTTGAAAAAAAGTCATTCTTGTCACTTGAATCATCTTCTAACGTTATTATGACAGGATGAACATTTTCAGAAGCATCGATCTGAATTTCGTCTTCTAATCATTTATCTTCTACTTCTACACATTTTTTTACATCATCTAGTTTGAATGTGATATTTTCTTGTCTGACTTTGTTTTCAACAATTGCCCATATCAGTTCAATGGGGTTTAAATCCGGGTGGCGCGTACTATAACTGTAGTTATATAACATAAAAGACAACACATGACAATCAGCAGAGTTGCCTTTTCTACACTCACCCGATTGTATCTGTCAATTTTGGAACCCTTGTATAGACATATTCTCCTGGCGATGACCACAGCCCGTGGGAACCATAAGCTGAAAATACCACAGGGTGTGAACCTTGTGTACGGACGATTTGTGGAAATTTTGGTACTCTGTGGGCAGTTTTTTTATTTTCTTGTGCATCAAATTTGAAATATCTTCCCTTCTCATTATAAGTGAAGTAGCCACCGAAATCGTGGATGGACAAATACAGCTTATCAGGAACGTTTTTTCCAGAAAATGACAGGCTCATATGTTCCCAGTCACCAACATGGTTGCCCAATGTCTTTACTCTGCCAAGACATCTATTGAATAGGTTCAGGAAAGGAACTTTGCCTGAAACGTTATGGAACGAATTATTTGCGATTTGAAATTCTTCGTTTGGCAATGTATAGAAGGTAGTTACAACTAGAACAACTCAAAAATGTAGACTATATTTTAGACTATATTTTTCAATGTGGCATGCATTATCATTTTTACAACATTGAAATGATATTTTTTCAAAAAATATAGAGATTTAATACTATAATGGGTAATTGTCAAGCTCTGACCACTATGTCTTTGATTCTGCCTGAATTCAAAGCCTCAAACAATAATATACACACATCGGAAAAGTCTAGGAATATNAAATATCCCTAGACTTTTCCGATGTGTGTAGATTCAATGAGAAATACTCCACATTAGTGGTGTTACTTTATTATTGAACATCTCCCTAACCTAACCTAATGATGATGTAATGATGGAAATACAAATTATAACCTAATTCAGAAGAATTAGTAGTGTGTATATCAGAAATGAAAATAATCCAAACGCAAATCCACTGACGTTCAATAATAATCAACTGGTTAGATACAGGTCTAGTTATTGATGAAAATGTAAGTTACCAAGATCATGGAATAGTTAATTTTGTTTTTGTGTTTTTCTGGTCTCTGTAAATAAAAAAATAGTTTTTTTCTCGGCGCCTTCAGCAAAATGAATTTTAACCTGGCTTTTGGGAGAGACTGAATAATTATATACTTTGCAAGGAAAAATTGAGCAATTTGCAAAAATTTTTCTACAATGTAAAATTGGGAGAGACTTTTTTATCCGCTTGAAATGGGTAAATTTTTTGTCGTGAATACTCATTACCCTAATAATGGCCATTTTTGAACATTTGTTATTGTAACTGTTGTTTTGGTCGTTTTAACAATTTAAAAATATTTTTAATGAGTCATTTTCTAGGAATTCACAAAATAAGCCATTATCGTTTCACATCATTCAACATTGTGAGATAATAAATGGTTTTCCAAAGTAATTACAAATTTCTATAATGAACGCTTCAAACATTTGATTGTTTACGAACATAAAATGTCTCTTCGATACGTGATCACTGAATGATAATTCGTAATTTGTTCATGCGCGAGCTGTAGATCAACAAAATCAAAACGTACTATTCCCATTATGAGAAAAAATATTCATTGAATATATTTTTCGAAGAGCCGATTTTGGATTTACTGAAAAATTCCCCTGTTAAACACATAGCAGATAAGTGAGTCTACTTTGAAATGTAACATCTCAGTAAATACATTCAATTCAATAGAAATAAGAGCCATTTGAATCAGTGCTTTTCTGCTGACGTAAAACAAGTCGATTAACTCCACAAACTACACCTAACAATTTGTTCTTCACAAACTTTAATTTCCAAAATATCACATGTATCTCTATTAGAATAGCGTTTTCGTAGTGAATAACATGTATGTTTTGATCCAAACAATCAGCACCCCTTCAAAATATTTCCAGTGATAGGTACGCAAACATTTCAATAACAAATAAACTGTTGAACCTCAATTTCTGTATTCCTTTTTCTACTATTGTCCCTACATGTTGCATTGAGATTCAAAGCATAGTGCAACTGCAACATGCAAGTTTCAGTGAGAGTATCATTCAAAAATGAATAATGGAAAGAACTTGAGAAGGTTTTTGTATAGAGAAGATAAAATGAATATATTATTGATACTCCAGATGACAATGTTCGATTAGATCTTTGACCCGGACGACAATAACCCGACTTGTTTTTTTCTTTACTGAAGATATGGTGATGAATGTTTTCTTGGAAATATTTTTAAAAACAATGTGAATCGTGCACACATAGCAAAAAACACGTTTTCGAATAAAATATACAGAACAGAATACAGAAGAATTTTGAAACTTTGCCTTTCCTTTTGCGAAAAAGTGTTTGAGGAAAGATATAATTTAGTTATTACAGACATCGTCATTATTAATTACTGTTGAATTTTTAACTTGAAATGTTGAATCGTACAATCTATAAGGAGAAAATAAAGCAAAGTTACCTCGATAAATGAAAGTGAATGAATGAATGTATATTATACTGCGCACAAATTCATTTGTTATACATTTCCTACAGCTGTATAAGCTGGACTCAATTTACATAAAGAATCATCTAGAACAATAACAAGAAATATTCAATGAAAGTTGATTAAAGTGGAATTTCATCGGAAAGTATAGGTCAAAGATAGATTTTGTATTCACCAATACAAATGAAATATAACGGCAATACTTACCCAAGGTGCACACTTTTTTTCCTTCATTGAAAGGAAAAAACAACCAATAGGTGACGTAGAAATATAAGGAACTATTTTTTCTCGAGACCCTTTCATTAGCATCTTCCGAAATATAATTTTTTGTCTCATTCAGATCTGGGCCATGAACACAGTCTGAAACCAGGGCATATATCGATACTGGATAGTGATTGGGATTTTGGCCGTAGATAAAGGAGTGTGAATCATTCCTCAGAGAATCTGGAAGAAGGAGAAACATGCATTCTCAAGTTCTTTCAAAAATGAGTTTGTTACATTGAAGGAAAATGTTGAGGACTTCTGTCAGCACATATTATCGCTGAGAATAAACTTGTTCGGGTCTTTATCTCCTCAAGAAAAACACCCTTTTTGCATTTCCACATTCAACCCAAATAAAAGATGTTTTTAAAGAACTATTGCTCTTTCGTAACGTCACTTTTCTACCTCTAATGGGAACAGATACTAGTGTAAACAGTGTTTTGATGTATGTTACTTACAGCTACTCACATAAATCTCGTCTAGTCACCAAATAGAACTGTTGTGTTAGATCATAACGAATTCCCCCATTCAAATAAAACTGAATTATTGATCCATTCTTATTAGCTACAGAAACATGTCTGAGGAATTCTTCGGCATTCATTGGCAGATATTTTTCATTAGGTGCCATCCACACCAGCGGTGACCATTGCCTAACCAGGTTCTCAACTGAAAAATCAAAAGAAAATGAAGAAAATTTGGTAGCATAGTGAAAACTAATGAGACATTAACTGAGACATTCATGAACTAATTACAAAGTTGCTAAGAAAAAACAAAAGTCTCTGGGAAAGAAATAATTTTAATAATTTATCATCTTCTGTATTTGATGTATCATCACTTCAAGTGATGAGAGAAAAACGAAGCAAAATGGCGACTATTATCGTATTACAATCAATTAGGCTTTCTCTCTTCAGACAATGTGTTGAATGAAAAATAATTTCAATGTGTAAAAGTGAATTATCAAGTACATCAGTATGAGTGAACCATATTACCTTCTGCCAAATTTTGAGTTTTCACCACATATACCGTCAAAATCAAACACAAAAACAAATAAAATAATTTTCTTAAAACAATCATATCAAGAACGAATCATGGCCAAGCGGAAGTGATTTCACTAAGGATTGCACTAACGGTTAAAGAAAGTGAATAGCATTCAAAACATCACGATGCAGATTGTTGAACTTCAAACGATGAACTAACAAATTTCACGAAGAATAGACTTGAGGAAGTCTTGTTGACGCTGACCTACACTATACTTTGCAGTGGCGTATTGAAGAATCGGGTCTCAGAATGGCATCATAACAGGTCATTGTGAAAAATCCTAAGGTGTAACAAATAATAATGACATGAATGTCAAGAAATCTATAAACTACCATCCGTATCCAGTATCGACTATTTGGAGCAGTGCTACTTATCACTAGATAGTTTTACAAAAGCGCAACACGTGTACCTGAATTTCAAGTACCTTTTTTTTTTTACCTGAAGTACCTAAGGCAAAAACTCAGGTACTTGAAATAAGGTATATATAGCATTTAATGTGTAGAATTAGTTATTAAGACACGCCCGAGGAAGCCATTGTATGGCGAAACACGTGTTGCATTTTTGTAAAACTATCTAGTGGAAATCACACAATAAAGTGTTTTTAGAATACGTTAGTTATGGATTTGCATCAAGTATCAGCCGATTCCATCAAATAACAATGTTGAATTTGTTTATCAAAATCTGTTTTTCCGTTAACCAGCTGTGGCACCTCTACAAAGACAACCCTCAAAAGTCGAATCTTGTGCGAGTTGAGGATTAACAAGGTCTCACTTTTCAACGTGAGATTCTTAGCATAGGGATTCACAGATTTCTTTTTCTACTTTTTCACCGTTCACTCAACTCGGAGATTTTTGCTACATGCACCAAACTTTCTTCAGGATAGTGCAATCGTAACATGGCCATTAACGCACAGTTCCAAAGGGGTCAGACCAGTAATTAATTCCATTGCCATGGTTGGTGTTGACATGACTCCTATGATGTTTAAACAAGCCAGTCGCTGTATTCGATATAATTTTTGGATGGCCGTTGCTTGTGAAACTTTTGGTCCCCATGCAATGGCTCCGTTCGTTAGCAAAGGTCTTCTTATTGCAGTGTAGATCCAGGTGACTACGGAAAGAGAAATTACATTCTACAACATCAAATCGAAGAAGAGGGGTTCATTACTATCTATTTGTATTCAAAAAATCAAAGTTTTCAGCAGAGTTATTCATTTCTGGTATTGAAAAAGTCGACCAATCAGAAGAAAGTACCAAACTGTCAAAACGGTAAATAGAAGAATTCCTTTACTATAACATTTGAACACTACTGAATTTCAAAAGCTACCAAGGAGATATCCAGATAAATACCCAACCTAACTATCAGTGCCAATGTATTTTTTGATGACAATCATTAACGTTAATGAGTCAAATAGTCCACTTGGGCTCCATGACAGTTTGCTACTTTGATACCGTATTATGCCTTATTCTTGAAACTTATTCAAGAATATTGTCGTTTCTTATTATCAATAGTTCCCGCAATTATCCAGATAATATGTAAAGGTTATGACCTTCGATTCTGGCAGATATATGGCATGTGTCCTAAGATATTTAGAGAAGTACTGTAGACTCATATAAAAGCTCCTGAACTTTGACAATTGATAACGGTCATCTTTTCAAAGTTGTTATTCATTCAGTCTGCTCTGGAGTAGTTGGTAATTGACCCTAATTTCAATCAAAAAATCATCTTCAGCGATGAGACCCATTTTTATATGAATGGGTACGTCAACAAATAAAATTGTTGAACTATACTAGTACACATGAGATCCAAAAGCGTCCAATGTATCCCGAAAAAGTCACTGTTTGGTGTAGATTTTCGGCTGGCGGCGTCGGCGGTCCATATTTCTTTGAGAACGACGTTAGCCAGGCCAACACGGATGGCACTATACGTCGATGATTACCATTTTTTTAAGCGATTTGAGGGCATGGCCATCTCACGTGGAGGCGATGTAAACTGGCCACTGAGATTGTGGGATTTGACCCCGTGAGACTTTTTCTTGTAGGGTTTTCTTGAGTCGCAGGAGTATGCGTCTAAGACACAAATTACAGCGGTCCTCAAAGTCAACATAACCTCTGTCATCGGTCACATTCAGCCTGATTTATGTGCCAGAGTCATGGAAAATTGGGTGTTTCGGATGTGCTCCGCCATGTATTCTGGAAAAATTTCATCCCATCATTACATGAATTCCAAATACTTTTCTGCAATCTGTCCTTCCAGAAATGTAGCCAAAATAATATCTGATAAATGGCCACAAAAATATTTTTTAACCTGTGTTACGATGGTAAATTGAAAGATGCAGTTGAAAAAACCCAAGTTTCTCTGGTCTGAGAGATCTATGAGGTCTGGCAAACTAGTACCCATTAAGTTCGATAGCAGTTAATGTGAAATATCTTTTTTTAGATGCACCTCACTGTTTTCATTATCAAGTGAATGGAAGTGAGTTCTTGAAATTAATATGACATAGTCGTATCAATAAAGTCGTTTCCTCGGAGGTCTTCGATTCGATTTTTTCTGTTATTTGTTTCTATACAATTTTGAAATATAGAAGCGAGGATATAACCATTTATTAATTGAAAATGATAATTCGAATTCATTTTAAAGAATTATTCCATCAATAGTTCTCAAAAATTGGGAAAAAATCCTGGTCCGATTAAAGGGAAATGACATGAAAATACAATGATTTATATTTGAAATTACTACTTCTACAGAATAATTAAAATTCATATAATTCAAACAGAATATTCATCAGCAACATCCATTTGTGGGGAAGTTTCGGAAACTGGCCTCACAATAATTTGCTCCATATGCACTTTTGATACCCGATCTCAATACCGTATGTTCTGAAGAAGGCAGCAGCTCGAAATATTTCTCTCATTCAGTTTCGAAAAAATCAATAATATTTCATTGTACTAATTATATACTATGAAATGAAAATCCAAACCAATCCGAATATACTCAAAATTGTCTAGCTGTATTATATACCACCACCATTTATATTCAAGTCGTGAGGTAAATGAATATCGAAACGAGGTTATCAACTATTGATGTTGAGGTAATTTCATGTAACATGATTATAAATTCTCCACTCGATTTTATAACTGAGCTAGGTTCCTTTTTGATAAAGAGAAAGGTATCGTATTCAATCAATGAGTGTGTTGTTGAACCATTTTGGTATCGCAGGTATTACGTTATAATTACTTCAGTGGTAACAAAGAAGTATCTAGTGTGTGGTCATAGGTAATTAGAGTAACTGAAACACTTAGGTTAATTATCTTTTTAGTTGCTTGGTTGGTACAATCCAACACTACATGACACAATGAAGGGCCAAGTCACAATTCAAAATGAACGTGAATTATTGAAGTGAGAGCTATCCTCAGAGACAGTGGCGTACAGTGCCGTAAATCACCATACCCCTAAATACGTGAAAGGCTTTAACATTTTTAACGATTAATGCAGACTTTTATTCCATAGTTCTTCAACAAAAAACTTACAGGTAGATATTGGGTGTAATTTTCACTGTCTACTTTGTTTCTGAATTTACGACCTTTACTTCAATGGCAAGTTCTTTGTTATTAGGATCGCTCATAGAAAAATCTCCCGAAGGCAACCGTAACCTCTTTTCATTCATTTTTTCGAAAGTGTTGTTATTCTAAGGGGGTTGAAGGGGGAAATTATGCTCTGTAAATTCCATAATAGAACTAAAAACTGGTATGTGTCTGGTTTTTACTCATTAATTGTAAGTTACGTAGAAAATAAATTAATCAGTTATTCATGAACCGCAATATATATTTGGGCCACATGTAATTAAATCAATCATCTCAACAGAGCCCTCGGTATACTGGCATTTGAGGATATAACAATAAATGTTGCGTATATGAGGTAATCTGCTTCCGAATCTGTATGAGCCAGATTCTTTCAAGTTTCCAACGTATTCGATGAGAACATTCAGAACTTGACCTTGAATAGAAAATTTTAATGATTCGTTATTGTATTCAATATGTAAATTATCACTGAAAACAATTTCGTATCGAGTCCATGGTAAGCAACTGAAATGCGTCTACCAACATTCTTCTTTCCGATAAATAATTGGTGAAGCTGCATACATGGAATGAAATAAATTATATTGTTATACCTTGATTTCTATAAGGAGACCAACTTTTTTTTTCAAATATGTGGAAAAAACTTTACAAAGATGCACACACTCAAGAATATTGACAGGGATCTCTCTGAGTGTACGAAATTCTATGGAAAACTTCATAATGTTTTTGATCGCTGCTTTCCCAAGTATAATACAGTTGAACCCAAAACTAAATATCCTCCTTGGTATAATAGAAGCATTATTAGAGATTTGCAGGCTAAAAGCAGAATCTGGCGCAAATACAAGCGTGAGTGTAATCTGCAGGCCCTTGAAGATTTCAAACATCTTCGAGCAAAAATAAAGCATGTTGATGTGGCATATAAAAAATTCTTAGGTGAAACTGAGAAAGAAATACATGTCAATCCCAACAGATTTTGGTCATTTATAAATAATAAACGAGGTAGCTCCAAAATATCACAAGTACTGAATTTTGAAGGCCAATTACTGGAGGGGCACTCTAATATCGTAAACGGTTTTGCCAATCTTTTCCAACCATCGTATACCGCTTGTTCCCCTTCTCAACCAAACTCTGAAATTGATAATAGTTATTTTCTCGGTATATCAAGCTTCAGTGAAAACGAAGTATACAAGGCACTAAGGTCGCTCAAGCCTAAGAAGACCACTGGTTCAGATGACATTCCAGCATTCATCCTAAAAGATTGTGCACTTGTGCTGGCTCGTCCTCTATCTATACTAATTAATATCTACTAAGGCAACTCATTCACAAATTTTACTCCCTGAGAGATATCCTAACCCGTAAGAACATGCTCACCTTATATTATGCACTGGCAGAGTCTGTTCTTAAGTATTGCATTACAGCATGGGGAGGAACGTTTGAAAAAAATTTAGGAGGTTTACAAATAATGCAAAACACATTACTGAAAATTATTTGTAAGAAGGACCGTTTATTTTCCACAAAAAAGCTGTATGAAGAAATCAACTTATTCAACATCAGAAGTCTCTACTCTTACTCTTGTTTAATATGGATATTTCATAACAAANCCCCTTTTATCAATATCACATTGATAGAATAGAAGCAATTCAACGACGATTTTTTAAACTGCTAAGCCTAAAAACTGATGGCATTTATCCTCCAATAGGAACAACCCACTCTGAATTGCTACAAAAGCATAACTTTAGTGTTGCACTAACCGATAAAATTATCAAAAGCATAGTAGACTGTCCAACATTACTGGAAAAGTTTAATATTTGCATTCCTAGAATCTGTTCCAGACACCCGAGTACTTTCTATATAAAAACATATCGCACAAATGTTCTGGAGAATTCTCCGATCCATACCATGTGTAAAGTGACAAATTCTATTAGCGATAAGTTAGATATATTTAGTTGTAAATTGTAAAATATAAAATCCCACTTCCAAAAATAATTGTTTTGTCACCTATAATAAATATAAAATGTGTAGTCCTTATAGTCACTTGTTTATATTGTTTGTAGTGTTTGTAGACTTTACAGTCACTTGTTTGTGATGTATTTATTATAATACTCTGTTATTTCCTGCTCTGTAATTGGGCTATGTCCTGTAGAGTATTGTATTACAAATAAATAAATAAATAAATTTTCAGGAATGATTGTTTTTTTTTTCAATTTTCATATCCACTCTGTTTTGTTCCAGCAGTAAAATATTTTTTTTATATCAAGTAGAATCATGTACTTATTGAAATGATAAGTGCAAAATGTATTATTGATATCTACTCGAGAATGTTGATGGGAAATAAGTTGTTGTTAGTTGATGAGCCCCCTTATAATCTCAAAAGACAAATCAGAGGCCCTTACCAGATGCTCAGGAGGCAGGCAAAGCAAGTGATTTCTGTTTTGTAGCTGCCCAAGAGATAGATGATTCATCATGAATGAAACAATGTACATAGGGAACGGATCTACAATTTTTTGAATGCAAACAATGTAAATTATGATCTACAGAAACCAATTTTCCTACAAAAATGAACGGAAATCACAGTTATGGCCGATACAGTTCAAATTGAGTCAAAGCGCTACCGAAATAGCCCGAAAAATCAACCAGGATTTTGACAATGATGGTGTTTTTCTCAATTACAGAACACGAGTGCTACAGAAAAGTCCTCAAGGCGCTTTTAGAGCGCCAGTTTTAGTTATTTCTTTCCCTTTTTTTTGAAGTTATCCAGTTTCAATTTGAAATTCATATTGTGAATTATGCTTACCTGAATAAAATGTACTTTCTTACTTATTTACTTTATGTCAAAAATTGTAATTACACCATCTATATATTATTAGACTGGAGTTCATGGAAAAAATTGTACTCCTCTTCTGCTTTGTCCCCAATCTTTTCCAAAAATACTACCTTAAAAAATATACTCTTCTGAAGCATAGTTTCAGAAGTATCCATGCGTGTCTGAAAGGTCTCTTGGTAGATTTTCATGTGTAAAATCTCAAGAAAGCGTCTGTCAATGCCAAACGGATGAGAGGTTGAAGAAAGTGACATGGCATCTGATTAACTCATGTCCTTGCGTCTTCCATTCGTAAATATATTGAATTTACTGCCATAAAATTTCTTAATGTATCTGTGTTCAAGTATTCTTCATACTTTTTGTAACGAATTTACATGTTTGTTGAGAAAATATAAGTCAAAGACAACGTGTTTCTCAATTGCTGCTGGTTAGTTTGAACAGCAAGGTCAATCAGTTTCTGTAAATTCCATTTTTGAATCTGGCCGTACTTTAAACTGATAATGCGTTCGGTTACGAGATAGGTGCGTCAAAAAAAATTCAGCTCTCATTACGAAATGAGAACTTTACTGGGTTTGGTGATTTTTGTAGTTGTTTGCGACGCGCAATTCCAGGATTGGCTCAGAGATCTCAGAGGATTTTTTGCACTCAGTGATGGAGATGTGGAAGATAGCAATAGTTTCAAGGAGTTTTATGACTTTGTTATTATTGGGGCAGGTTAGTCTCATTTTCTATTTATTATTCATCAACTACACACACTCTATAGTGGCCTACTAAGGAATTCGATTTTGTATAATGTTTATAACATCATTTTGTTCCTGTCGAATCTTTCTCCTCCCTAATTTTAATAAAATACATGATCAGACTGATTTTTCTCGAAATTTTTTACAATATGTGTGTTTTTATATCAATGTATATATTTTTCACTAATTGTTTACACAATGAACGTTGCAATAATAATGAAACAAAAAAAATAAAATAATGTCAACATGTAACAAAGAGGTTTCAAAATTCTCTGACGTGAAATGAATGTATTCAAAAGATTCTCCTACATTAGAACAAATATACTTTTTTTCGATGTCGGAAAAAAAATGGTAACAATTTGGAAGCATGTCCAGTTTGTTCATGTAGGATCAGAACCTGTTTATATTCACTGCGAAAACTTCAATATTCTGAGCGAAGTATCATCCTCTAATTTTTTAAAGTGAATAGAGAGTCGAGAGGTCACTCATTAATGGGGGCTTTTGATTCTCTATCTGCTCTGTTGGTAGATATCATTTCGCCAGTTCAAAAATTATGGAGCTTTGAAATAACAACGATACATTTTTAAAAAAATACCAATATTGAATTGATTGTGACTTGTAAATTTTGGTATGGTATTCGAAATTCATTATGCCAACTACAGATTAACTTTGCTTACTCGTTATACTTTGAAATGTTTTTGAACTTCTGGTGGCTCACTCAGTCTTTACAGAGTCCTTCTATGAAAAGAACCAACCATGAAATATAGAATTCCAAATGGAAATAATAGTTTACTAATTCACTCATGACTCCAACAACAAGCGAAGCAAAGTTTTCCAACAGAGAATTAATTAATCTAAATTGCAGTTTTTTTCAGCTTTCCAATGATTTTCAACGAGAAAAATATAAAATTCCGTTCAATTGTTAATAATTGTTCATGAGGCATTAGGAAGTATCATATAGACAACAAATATTTCAATTTTCATCAATATTTCAATAGGTTCCGGTGGTTGTGTGGTTGCAAATCGCCTCACCGAAAATCCAAAATGGAACGTGCTCCTACTAGAAGCTGGTGAAGATGAAAATTTTCTCAGCGACGTACCACTGATGGCTGCATTTCAATCCAGCACCGGCTTCAATTGGGGCTACAAAAGTGAAAAACTGAAAACTGGCTGTCTTGGTTTGAAAGATGGAAGATGTAACATGGCTCGAGGAAAAGCCTTGGGCGGAACTTCTGTCATCAATTTCATGATGTACACACGTGGGAATAGGTATGTTGATGGTATTTTTCAATTGTATTATGGTAAAGCTCAGAAGTTCTCAAGAAGTCAATATTCTTATTTGTTTCTGGAATCACTGAGTCGCCTCTGAGGAACACTCTATAATTTTTTAATCAGATCACAAGATGAGGTCAGCAACAAGCCATTATTGAAAATAAGCAGGCAATATTATACAACATTCTCATGATTTTTTTCGTGAACAAAATCAATGCGGCATTAGGCGGTTCTTTCTTTACAAATCCACTTCTCCAAACAATCAAAACTGATTTGCGTGAACTCCACCAAGAGAAAAAACCGTTGAACTTGTTTGGGTTCCATCCCACATTCCATATCGAGATACTTGGTGAAGAGAAACGCAACGCAACGCTTATTCAAACTATAGTGCGAAAGCAACACAAAATGTATCACATACCGACTTATATAGCCGATTAAAATCAATTACACAAAGTACATGAAAAGGAAAATGGTAAAATCTAACCTCCAAAATTCTAACGGAGTCAATCGTAATCATCAAACAATCATTACTAGTCCCAGAATTGGACATACTAGGTTAACACACCAGCATCTTTTGAAATAAAAGAAGATGTAAGCCTTCGCGAATTCTGCCATATGGCCTCATCAGTCGAACATCTTTCCAATTGTCCACATCTCCAACAGAAGATGAATGACTTGAAGTCACATGAAAATACATCAGTGATCATCGGCAGTAACAGTTTGTTAATAAATGTTCAGCCGCTAATAAATAAGTGTGATCCGGCTTGATACTGAATTGAAAAAAATATCAACTCAACGAAGCCAAAGTCAGCATTTATGATCACTGAAAAACCCATTGAGTTCCTGATTTCTGTACTGAAATGCTTTTGGAGTTATCTTAAGATACGATTTAAATTGTTTACTGAATTAACAGGTGAGCATGTCTAATTGAAATGAAAACCATTCAGGTTTATAGTTGAGTGATAATTACTTTCACCATAAATCACTATGAAGTTGTGCAATTGGATGCATTGTGTGAAATTGTTGTTAGTCTGTTCAAAGTTCGAATTTTTTTACATATCCATTTAAATTCAATACTCGCGTCTGTTATGGAAAACTATAATTTGTTTTTAATAGTATCGAATATAAACTACATGCTTAAGCTACCGTTATCTTCATGATCAAAATGATGAAGTATGAGTAAGGAGAAGTATACTTGCAGATAATTTTGTGGAAGACAATGCTGTCAACCCACCGCAAGGATATCACTTGGCATCTACACAAATATTTTACTTAAATGCCTCGGTGATCAAGAAATACAATCAGAAAACGTCATATATCATACGACAAACGACATAAGACATCATACATACGATATGAGATATATGAGGCAAATGACAAGTGACATATATAATATGATATGATGTATGATGTATGACATATACGACATACGACTCATGAGACAAACGTCATACGATATATATGACATATACGACATACGACTTGAGACATGCGACATATACGAGATATAGCATATGTCATATACGAAATATACGACATAAGACGAAACATACGACATTCGGAATTCGACATACGACGTACGAAATATACGACATAATTCATAAGACAAAACGAACGACATGCGACATACGACATTCGAAATTCGACATATGACATTCGACATACCATATATGACATGACATGACATGACNCAACATAGATATTTATCTTCTTTTGTAATTCTCTCTATGAGAGAAATTTGAGAGGATTTTAGGTATCAGTTACTCAGTCAAATGTATGGCAGATCATGACATTAAATATAAACAATATTTGTTTTTCCTTTGAAGACTGGATTACGATTCTTGGGCAGCAATGGGCAACGATGGTTGGAGCTATGAAGATGTTCTTCCGTATTTCATGAAATCCGAAAATTGCACACTTTGTGGAGAGATTGATGAAGACTTCCATCATAGAGGAGGCTACCTGAATATTGAACATCCTGGGTATGAAAGTGAGTTTGTGAAGTTGTTTATGAAGGCTGGTCAGGATTTAGGATATACAAACAATGATCCCAACGGAAAATTAGGATTAGGTATGTTTCAATTATTGTTATCAACAAAATACCTACCTCTCCCTGTAAACCCCAAGTAATGTTTGCAACATTGCATTCACTATTTTCAGGTTTTTCCAGGGTGCAAGCTACTTTGAAAAATGGAAGGCGATACAGTGCTGCCAAAGCATTCATCAAACCGATACAAAACAGACCGAATCTTCACATATCGCTCAAATCTAGAGTCACCAAAATTCTGATAGATCAATCATCTAGGCGTACTTATGGAGTGGAGTTTCTCAAAAACAGAAAGAAGTTCGTTGTTCATGTTAAGAAAGAAGTCATACTAAGCGCAGGAAGTATCAATAGTCCTCATTTACTTATGCTGTCCGGCATAGGTCCGAAAGAACACCTTGAGAAAGTTGGAATACCCCTGCTTCAGGATCTTAGAGTTGGTTACAACTTTCAAGATCATATGGCGATGTCTGCGTTAGCCTTCATGGTGAATGCTAGTGTTACGGTGTCTGATTCCTCTGTTCAGAATCCAAGAGATGTCTACAACTACATCTTCAGAGGTAAACATACTTCATTTTAGAAAACTAACCAGTACTCTCCAGAATGAACAAAACAGATTCCAAACAGATTCTTAAAGTCTCCAGAAGACTAACCAACTGAAAAAAAAGATTTTTTTTCAAATATTTTCAAAAGTGAAAGTAAAAATTCCTTGCACCGACTGTTCGCTAACTGCGATAGAGAATATATAGGTCAAACGGCCAGATTGTTGAGGAATCGTATGATTTCACACAAGAGTGACAGTAGATTTCACCTGGAGAGACGTGCTCTGAGTGAACACGTCTTTGAGGAAGGCCACAAAATGGATTATGATTCAGTAAGAATATTGTCAATAGAAAGAATACTACATATACTACTTAGTATACACTGTTTATTACACATCACCCAACAATAATTATTTTTATATATCACCTTGAAAAAATGTTTCCATAACTCCACAAATCTCATATTGATAAATGTACAATACATAAATATATTAAGAGATTATTCATGAATTAGGTATTTTCATACTTATGTTTGGCACTGTACGTACAGCGTCCAGATTCAGTTGGCAACGCATTATGTTAGGAACAGAGTTGCACTGTTTCCATGTCAATTGTGGTACGTGTTTGGAACTGTCAGTTGTCAGTGTAGCAAAACCTTGCTTCGATTGTTACTTTCAGATAATATTGTATGGCCGCCCTCCTCATGCATTTTCCTATTAAGCCTGTTTTCCATTGTACATCCTGCAGTAGAATACTCCTTGCCTGATTTTATGTCCGACTAATAAAGATGTTTTTCATCAATGCTTGTCCATTTTGTTATCATAACATAAGCTCATTGACATTGTAAGAAGTTTTTTCCTTTGAAATCAGTCAGATTTTCACATGTTTGTAACAATTTTTTTTCACTTCATAATAATTTCAGGTAAGGGTCCATACACAATACCAGGGGGAGCAGAAGCATTAAACGGCATACGATATATATGACATATACGACATACAACTTGAGATATACGACATATACAATATATAGCATATGACATACGAATATACGAGATAAGACAAAACATACGACATTCGGCATTCGACATACGACGTACGAAATATACGACATAATTCATAAGACAAAACAAACGACATGCGACATACGATATATGAGATGACATGACATGACATGACGTGACGTGACGTGACGTGACGTGACGTGACGTGACGTGACGTGACGTGACGTGACGTGACGTGACGTGATGTGACGTGACGTGACGTGACATGACATGGCATATTTTCAGGAGTGATTTATTTTTGGGAGTTTTTTGGCTTTCAAAGTAGAACTCATGTGAATGATATCTGATTTTTATCCCACAACGAATGTTTGAAATATAAACTGAGTAGAGAACAGTATCTTCTGTATAATTCAGTGTCCATATAGAAGTATTTATTTCGAAAGAATTTTTTTTCTTTCGTGTAATTCAATGTTTATATGAAAGTAGCTGTTTCAGGAGGACTTTCTTTCAGTTTCTGAAAGTTACTTCTTTGCATGATCTACACATCCATGTATAGAGTTACTTATTTTCAAATTGATTACTTCCTTCCTTTCTTTGGAAGATTCTCTCATCCCTTTTTTTTTTCTTTCACTTAATTCTTGATTTTACGAATTTCTGAAGTGTGATGTTCTATCCGCAATTCATTGCAACATTAAGAAAAACAAATTCAAACTTGATATCACTAATACCCTCATTTTCACAAAAAATACCTATTTGGATATCAAAAGTACGGCAGAGATGAATATACAGATAGTATTCACATTGTTGAACATGTCATGTCTAAATGTTTAGTAAACAAATTATATTGCCTTCTTCTCTACAATCCAAGATCAACATAATCATCTCACCGAATTGACTGCATCTTTAGTACTATACTCTATAAAAAGTTGGTGAATTTTTACTGGTTCAACTAAGTAGTCACTTTGAAAGTTCAATTTTTCTACAATATTTCCTCGTAGGTTCTCAAAGGATAGTTAGATCTGATATTTTTGGTATCGACGTAGATCTAAGGTATTTATCTTCTTTTGTAATTCTCCCTATAAGAGAAATTTTAGAGGATTTTAGGTATCAGTTACTCAGTCAAATGTATGGCAGATCATGATATTGAATATAAACAATATTTGTTTTTCCTTTGAAGACTGGATTACGATTCTTGGGCAGCAATGGGCAACGATGGTTGGAGCTATGAAGATGTTCTTCCGTATTTCATGAAATCCGAAAATTGCACACTTTGTGGAGAGATTGATGAAGACTTCCATCATAGAGGAGGCTACCTGAATATTGAACATCCTGGGTATGAAAGTGAGTTTGTGAAGTTGTTTATGAAGGCTGGTCAGGATTTAGGATATACAAACAATGATCCCAACGGAAAATTAGGATTAGGTATGTTTCAATTATTGTTATCAATAAAATACCTACCTCTCCCTGTAACCCCCAAGTAATGTTTGCAACATTGCATTCACTATTTTCAGGTTTTTCCAGGGTGCAAGCTACTTTGAAAAATGGAAGGCGATACAGTGCTGCCAAAGCATTCATCAAGCCGATAAAAAACAGACCGAATCTTTACATATCGCTCAAATCTAGAGTCACCAAAATTCTGATAGATCCATCATCTAGGCGTACTTATGGAGTGGAGTTTCTCAAAAACAGAAAGAAGTTTGTTGTTCATGTCAAGAAAGAAGTCATACTGAGCGCAGGAAGTATCAATAGTCCTCATCTACTTATGCTGTCCGGCATAGGTCCGAAGGAACACCTTGAGAAAGTTGGAATACCTCTGCTTCAGGATCTTAGAGTTGGTTACAACTTTCAAGATCATATGGCGATGTCTGCGTTAGCCTTCATGGTGAATGCTAGTGTTACGGTGTCTGATTCCACTGTTCAGAATCCAAGAGATGTCTATAACTACATCTTTAGAGGTAAACAAACTTCATTTTAGAAAACTAACCAGTACTCTCCAGAATGAACAGAACACGTCTTTAAGGAAGGACACACAATGGATTATGATTCAGTAAGAGTATTGTCGATAGAAAGGATACTATAAGAAGGCTCTTCCTGGAGATGTTACATAATTTCCTTTCTCAATATACACTGTTTATTTCTCATCACCCAACAATAATTATTTTTATATATCATCTTGTTTCCATAACTCCATAAATCTCATACTGATGAATGTGTGTACAATACATAAATATATTAAGAGATTATTCATGAATTAGGCATTTTCATACTTATGGTTGGCACTGTACATACAGCGTCGAGATTCAGTTGGCAACGGATCATGTTAGGGTTAGGAACAGCGTTGCACTGTTCCCTTGTCAATTGTCGAACGTGTTTAGAACTGTCAATTGTCAGTGGTACTTTCTGATAATTTTGTATAGCTGCCCTCCTCATGTTGTTTCCTATTCAGCGTGTTTTCCATAGTATATCCTGAATCAGAATACCCCTTGCCTGATTTTATGTATAACTAATATGGATGTATATCTTCAATGCTTGTCCAGTTTATTATTATAACATAACCTCATTGACATTGTAAGAAGTTTTTTCCTTTGGAATTAGTCAGATTTTCACATGTTTGTAACAATTTTTTTTCACTTCATAATAATTTCAGGTAAGGGTCCATACACAATACCAGGAGGAGCAGAAGCATTAGCTTTCGTCAAAACCAAATACGCGCCGAACAAAACCGACAATTACCCGGACATGGAACTAGTTCTAGGTGCTGGAGCTCTTAACGGAGACGTCTTTGGAAGTTTCCGCAATTTGTTAGGAATAACAGACAGTACATTCCAACAAGTATACCGTCCAATAATAGGAAAACCATCATTCAGTATCGCTCCAGTTTTACTGAAGCCGCTAAGTCGAGGCAGGATCATGTTGAAGGATTCAAACCCATTGCATTGGCCAATCATCGATCCTAATTACTTTTCTGAAGAGAAAGATGTGGCAACTATGGTTGAGGGAATCAAAATGGTGAGCTAAACTTTTTGTTTGAGAGTCAGATTCCTGTAGCAGTAGGCAACTTGAAATTAGAAAACTGACATCTGCAATCTCAGTTCTGATGGTGGTTGCATTTGTAATTATTTCGTTACAGCCCTGTATATGTTTGCAAAAAAATATTGTACCAGTGTGAAACCATTTGTTTATGGAACAGTTCACAACATTGAAGTATTGACAGCTTCATGTTGAAAATAACGCGCTCACAGAACTGACCATCATGCTATAGGGTCTGCCAATAGCGCTTCCTATCATCAAATTTGAATGGAGATATCATGTGAGATATGTGAGATAGCATCGAAATTTTTATTCGTTTGAAAGACGTATATTGATGCCATTATGTGTGAAAATAACATCGTTCGAATGTCCGCGGTTTCTCTGCGTGAAGCGCATGCGACTCTAGCGCTGAATTTGACAGAAGGCATGGGTTATGTTGACTTTGAGAACCGTTGTGCCTTGTGACTTATTCGCATACACCTGCGACTTGAGAAAATCCGACATGTAAAATGTCTAACGGAGTCAAATCGGACGATCTTGGTGGCCAGTTCACATCACCTCTATGTGAGATGACCATGTCCTCAAATCGTTCGTGTAGAATATCCAATGAGGTATGAGATGTGTGGCACGTCCTGTCGAAACCACATGTCGTTGGCATCCAGATCATCCAATTCGTGCCAAAAGAAGGTGATAATTATCGAGCTATAATGCTCGCCGCTAACAATGATGGCCCTGCCAATGTCGTTCTCAAAGAAATATGGAACGATTACGCCGCCAGCCCAAAATCCATACCAAACAGTGACTTTTTGGGGATGCATTGGACGCTCTTGGATCTCATGTGGATTGATATCGTCCCAAATTCAACAATTGTGTTCATTCACGAACCCATTCGCTAAGTTGTGATCTGCAAGAAGCCAAGTTTTTGTGAGCGACGTGAAATCTATTTTCTCGGATTCTCCTGCACACTCTCACAGACAGCGGCAAATGTTTTCGGCAGATCTTGCGTTCTGTCGACGTACGGGTGTTGATTGATCATTTTCTAAATCAGTGGACTCAAATTCCAGTGGACTCAAATTCATCTACCAAATTGCGAATAGTCCTCTTGTTAGAACGATTATGGCAAACGTCAAATGGCTGAAGCGCGCGGTACGTTGTCAAAGTTCAGGAGTCCCTGTTGAAAGACCGTTTATATAGCTCCTTTGACAGATATACAGGGGTGCGCAAAAGTCCGGAAAAAAATTGATATCTTTTCAACCAGTATTTTAGGAAAAAAACGCTGAAACACGTCAGTTAATTTCACGTTGTACGCATTTTTTGGCGATAAAATGAACTTTTTTTTTCAACCCCTTAGCTGCAACCCTCCCCAACTTTGTTTTTCCAAATGCAAACGTATGTCGTGTATGGGCTCATTGAAAAGCTTGTAAAAAATGGATTCTGACCATACCCTTTTTTTTTGTGGTAACAACGAAATATACAATTTTCCTCACATCCAATACAGAAAAACAGCATGATGTAACAAGAAAAGTGCCTGCTTCACCCTTCAAGAATCATTTCAATTGAACCAGTAAAATATTTCGTACACTTTCTTAAAAAGGTGCATGTTTTGACATTACCAAACTTGTGAATCAAATTCAATGTCAGATATTTCGAAGAATATTCTTAACGCACTTGAGTAACCGATGAATCACTCCATAAATAACCTAGGAAAAAGTCGTTCATCGAAAATAGTGAAGGTGAAGTGCAAATATAAAAACTTTCTTACGTAATCACATCTTAATAATGACCAACTCAAACATGAATAAATTCCTTTAAATCAAATTCAATGTCACTCCAAATTATATAATTGAACTGGTCAGGTCAACGATTTCGTAAATAACATTCCATTCAAAATGACACCATACCTATATTTTAGTTGAAAACGGTGCCTTCATGTATTTCCCAAAAATGTATTTCGTTAATACGGTACTTTCCATACTATTTCTACCTGTGAGGAACCTCTCCTATCCTTCATAAGTTTCGTTCTCGGGTCATTTGCTGTTTTTCAACACCAATCAACGCTGCAAAATATTACACTCTCATCGTAACGGTGAGCATTCATTTCCTTTTGAAACATTCCCCTGGGCAATTTTTCAGATCAGATCCACACCTGCCTTCTTATAATTTTCAAGTGACTTGACGGTAGGTCCTTCATCCGAATGCTTCAGACCTCACAAGCGTTGTTGTGGTTGTTTGACAACTGGATCACTCACTACAGATGGCAGGCCCAGGACAGAGATATCAACCTGCCTAGGAACCTATGTTACTGTAATTCAAGCGGAAATTTACGCTATTGAATTGTATGCAGAGAGATTGGAAGAATTCAACCTCATACACACGTCAATAAAAATACCCTGGGACATTCAAGCAGTGTTGGAAGCTCTTGGCTTCTACCAGGCAACGTCTGAATTGGTAGCAAATTGCCAAAAACCACTCTCCTCGATAGGAAGACTTAGATTGTCTCTGGTCTGAATTCCTGGCCATACTAGCCTTAAAGGCAATGAGGCTGCTGACTCCCTCACAAAGGAGGGTGCTGCAAGCAGCTTCATTGGACCAGAACCTGTCATTAGCATCGCTTTAGGCTTTGCCAAACGAAAAAATATATAGAAAAACAAAATGGAACGAACCAACACCTGAAATAACGTTCTTCATTTCAGGTCTTGACAGAAGGATTGAGTGTAATTTTCGTCAAGATTTCCAATTTGACTCTTTCAAAAATTGATGTGTCATTTGGGTCTCGTAAATTCCACATGGATCAAAAAATTGGTATAGTTTGAAGAGCCTTGAAAATGAAGAGGAACCATTTAACATCTGGAAAAATAAATAAGTCGGATGATTCTTGGAAATGGCTATTTTTGCAGCCTACGTTGAGGATAGGTAGTCCCTATGGAGATCCAGGAGTTGTTCCCAGGCCTCCGCTAATAGGATTCCTACTGAACTGGTACAGAAACCTCTCAGTTGAATGGTGAATCGCATTCAAGAACTTCGGGGCTATTGCTCTTGCTGAACCACAAATAAATAACCATAATCTAGCTTAGTTCGAGCAAGAGCGTGGTTGTGGTTTGGTGTGGAATTAGGAATATATGTATAGTTTTGAGCCGGAAGCGTTTTATTTCATTCTAATACATAACAATAATAAAAATAACATAATAATAATAACAATAATAAAAGCCCAAGAGAGTAGTACTGTCAGCACCTTATAATGATTTTACAAAAGTTTCGTTAGATTCAAGCCGTTTCGGCAGGTTTTCTTCAGATCGATAACAAAGGAGTTCCAGTTGACTATCGAATGTCAGACCTAGGAATTCCCACCCACGATTGACCATCAATGTGAACTAAATATTCTGAACCAATTTGGAGAAAAAATTGAGGAGTGAAGGTTTTTGATAGCACATAATTTCAAAATCAGAAAAAAAATATATTTTGAGCAGGTGGTTATAAAAATTGAGTTGATTGATTAAACTCATTAAATTACTTCGATGTGGTTTCTTCTGAATTTGTAAATAAAGTACACATCTCACTTTGACTCCGCATTCTATCCCCACATCCCAACAATGTACGAATGTATGNGATTGGAAGGTTTCATAATTTAAGATCATTAATATTCGAATGCCAAATTTTAATGAAACGGAGACTTCTGGTGAATAACAATGACGGAAAAAACATTTTTGTTCCAATTGTTTCGTAGATAATGAAAAAAATGTTTTGGCACCTTTGATTTCGAATAAATATTCAACACATTCTCATAGGTTGCTTTCCGTGACGAAATGAAGGTCACGTAAAAAAATCAGCCTGCTGTATATTCCCTCTCATGACTCATCTGTAATATGAAATATTGCTAGGAATTTATATTGCTCGCTCCCTTGTTTTATATTTTCAATTATCCTCAGGCAATCGCAATAGCTCATTCAGACCGATTCAAAGTCCACGACACCAAATTGAACCAACTACCGTTTCCTGGATGCGAGCAACTTCCTTTTGGAACCGACCAGTACTGGGCCTGCACAGTCAGATACTACTCAACAACTCTAGGCCATCATGTTGGAACTTGCAAGATGGGTCCTGAAGGCGACCCATATGCTGTAGTTGATCCCCAACTGAAAGTTCATGGAGTAGAGCGACTTAGAGTCGTGGATGGATCCATCATGCCCAATATTGTTGCTGGGCACACCAATGCTGTGATATTTATGATAGGAGAAAAAGCTTCTGATCTCATCAAGAATGACTGGAATGAGTGAATGTTTTTGATTCATACTACACTTTAGTCTTAGGAATATATTCATATGTTATTATTTGTTTGAGCAGAACTCGATGCAGAAGTTTTTTCAAACGTTCACAATGTTATTAGATGCGACAGAAGATTCCAATGAAGGAAAAAGTAAGAGAAAAAGCAGTATCAATAGCCATTCGGATTCATTTGGTTTTTATGCAAATAAATGTATCTGTAGTAATTTCTGATACTCCTAGTATCAGTAGATGTACTAGTTGATCAATAGTGATTCAAATACCACCAAACATATCCTCAGAAGATTTCCAGGATTTCGTTACAATCTCTATGATAGAGCATTTTTATCATAAGAATGTTCTACTGATTGGTAATTTCAATACATCTCAAGTACAGACCGTAACAATGGTAGACGGAAAATTAAAAAAAAACATCAATGTCTTCCATTTTGAACAATGTAACGAAGCATTGAAAGAGAGCAACCGTTCTTTTTGTTCCGTTCTAATAAAAGAAATTCGAAAAGTTGAGAGAGATTTAGATCGTTCAGTGAAGGAGATAATTACCATATGTCGCGTATATTTGTGCTTCGACATATCAGAATACTTCAGCTTCAGAGAGGGTGATTATCCGATTAAGGATCTTCTTGAATTGAAAGAAGACCAAAATATGTCTTCAATGATGGGCTGAAAGAAATTGTGGAAAACTTTGAAGGAATCAAAGTTGAGCTGGGCAAAACAAAACAGAAAATCGCTCTCCATCGGAAATGGTGGAATAAATTGTTTGCTGGAGGAGACCTTACCTCAGGCAGATAAGCGAGTTTTGGCGTGAAAATAAAAAGATTTATTATATGGTCGAATTGACTCAACAAAGAATATACCGTTGGGAATATGTGGCAAAATAAAAACATTACAAGTTCATGTCATGCATTATGAGACGGCTAGTCTACCAGATTTAAAGACGCCTTCTGGAAAAGGAAAACTACTAATCATTACCCACATTGGAAGTGCTGATGGCTTCGTCAAGGATTGCTATTGATGTCTGATTTAAAATATTCAGGCCATTGTCATGAAGATGATGATCTGCATGAAGAATATTTTGAGCAAATGTTAGACCTCGTTGTTATGGATAATGAAAGTTATCATACCTGAAAAGTTGAGAGAATATCAACTCATGCATGAAGAAAAGCAGATATCATTGCGTGGCTTCGACATTTGATGAAAGTGTGGTTGAAAGGAAATATTGTCTACAGTCTAATAAAGAATATTACTGGAGTCTTTTCCCAACACCAAATCGTTATCATTAACACCTCGACACGTGTTTCGATCACCAAGTGATCATCTTCAAAGAGGAAGATTAAACTAGAAACTAAAGCGAAGCTATCCCCATTTATGCCATATAGATATCCCATTTAGGTACACCATCCAGGTGTTGTAAACACAATAATATTATGAATAACGATGACGGACCTATACCAAAGAGCATATTATATAGCTTGTTAAAATAAAATAATGTTGTTGGGTTTACTGATTACTACATAAGGACACATTGCAAAAATAAATTTAGATAGGCAATATTGTGAAATTAATTTTATATAGCTGAAAATTGTTTCATATACAGCTTTAACAGTTGAATATATATTGTAAAATAATAGATAAGGAAAAATTGTAAAATTAATTTAGATTGGTATACCTGTATGGGTGGTACACCTGGATGGTTTACCTGTATGGGATATCTATATAGAATAAATAGGGTTAGCTTTGCGTTAGTTTTAGTTTCAATCTTCCCTTTGAAGATGATCACTTGGTGAACGAAACACGTGTCGAGATGTTAAAAATAACGATTTGGTGTTGGGAAAAAACTCCACAGTAATATTCATTACTACACCAAAGGTTCCAAACAGTGCATCATAAGTCTAATAAAGCTTGAAATATATAGTCGACAATGTGGCAAAAGATACCCCCTCATCCTTATTGACTGTATATAAATGAATAAATAAAGATAGTTTGTAGTTTTGACAAGTATTTTTGATTGAATACCCAAAAACACGCCACTTCAGGTAATAAAACGATCCAAAAGCTCATGAAATAATTGTGTTTTGTCGTCAAAAACAAACACTGTTTCGATTGATGAAACTCTAAGAATTTCAAAAACAAAATCAGAAAATGATACTTTTTTGGAAAATAGAACAAAATTGAATGTGGAACTTATTTTGGAGTCAAGACGATTTTCATCAACAAAAATTTGTAATGTCAATAGGTTCATTTTTATCGCCAATTCCTCATGAAAAAAGTATAGATTTGTTCAAGAGCTGGAGAACCAAACAGCTCATGCTCTTGATTCGGTGTTACAAGCAAGACAATTGGGGTCTTTCAGTCAACCTCCATCTCCTCTGTAGACTCAGATCGAAACTGAGAAGCCATCAGCTATTTATCTTGATAATTTGTTACAGAGAGTCTTTCAGTCATTTCTGTAGACTCAAATTCGGATTTTTTGGTCAATTCATGGTTCATAAAGAGCTCCACGAGTATACGAGAATCAACAGACTACTACAGTTCATAACCTAGTTCTCATCAAATGATGTTGAATTTTTTGAAGTGCGGATTGGATGGTGAAGATTTTTCGGCAATAATTGTTGCGAAACTGTTATTCTACATTGTCTCTGCCATATCTCTTTCATTGACTACATCTGATATTCTGTTCATTTTTGAAATAAGTAAAAGAATATTTCATAACCTAAATTCTGTTTGATATTTCTACCCTGATAGCTATTACCTGGTAGACCTCATAACAATTCTATTAATCTACCGGCGTCCATGCCATTCAATTGTTTACAATGCAAAAAGAGAATGTGGGTATAAATTAGCCGCCATAATTAAATAATGCCAGCTCTAATGAAACACAACACCTAGCTCATTGTTCTATTTTTCTTATCACATCAGCGAAGCACATACCGTGAATACATTTATGGGCTTGTAATTCATGCTAATTTGATGAATATAATGAGCGCAGTGTTGTCTATAGTTTTTACATTGTTTTTCAGCGAGAAAGAAGTCTCTCTCTGATCGACCACATGAGTCGCATATGTAGGTGAGTTCAACGAAAGTTAACAGTTCTTGTACCTGTCCCGTGAGTTTTACCACTTTAAGAACGAATCACAGTGTTGCTGGTTTCGTGAAATTTATCATTGTCGTTTTATAGTGAACTGTGTCTTAGTGGTTTGATAAAAGATAAACATGTGTGGTTGGACTTTCCTACAATGCGATGACTATTATGTGTGATTATACCTACTACTTTGTGTAAGAAGGCAGTGAGATTGTTGAAAGAAGCAAGTTAAAAGCAATATTCAGGTAAATATTTCAACAGTTGCTATATATTTTCAAATAAGATATAACCCTACCAAAATATGTTCAGCAAATGGTAATTTTCAGGAAGTGAATAATTTTACAAGGTCATAAATTAAATGTTCAAAGAGCATATTTGAAGTGAGCTCCGCAAAACCTTCATACCACTTTTTATGATAGGCTTCGAAAAAATAATCCGACATTTCACAATAATGATTTCCAAAAAAACGAGTGAAAAATGCAGGAAACAATCTATATAGGTTTAAAGATATGAACTAATGAACTAACGAAACTGTGAATGAACTGGTTACATTTTCAACAAAAATAAATAAATATACTTTATTTCCTAAGATTGATAAGTATCAACCAAAGGATTTAATTCATTTACGTTGATTCAGGTTTTTCAGAAAAAATCCGAATAGCTTTTTCAGTGTGGCAAGATTGATAGCCCAGTCGAATTAGGGTTTGACAACGCAAAAATTCCCTTGAAATGTTTATGGAGTTGTTTTGCGTTCGCCGGAATAAAAGGCATGGTAAATTTTCGTTTTGAGGGCACCCAGCGATTTTGAAAAAAATTTTGAGTATACCTACTAACATATTTTGATGCGTAGATTACGAATCCGAAAGAAAAAAGCGGCGCTCTCCCTTATTTACAAAGTTACGGAAAGTTCAGAAAAGGGCAACTTTTCAGCCTTCTTTTTTACAAAATGAACTATTTAAAAACACAAGCATTTATTTACTAGGTCACCTCTACACCTTATTCCTCCTTCTTTGATACTTTTCACTTCACACTTGTTAAATCATCTGAAAATGGAACTTTTAACAGGTGATGATCGACTGTATTGCCAAATATGCGCCAAACTAACTGACTGTTATAAGAAAACAAGTATAGCTGAGGCACCAGTCAATCCAATAAAAATACTGATGATCTTCAAACAAGGCTCAACCTCTGACGGAAGCAAGAAACTCTTTGGAAGGTTCATAAGTCATTGTTCACTGTGGTTCTGGCGTTGAATCTGGTCAAAGACGAAACGGACTGGTTTAAGTCCGTTTCATCTTTGGAAACAGCCTATATTTTGTTTTATGAGAGAGAGAGGACATTGGTAGATCAAAGTCTTCATATGATATGGTGCTGCAGTTTTTTCCGGATTTTCCTGCAGCTGAAAAAGCAATTGCGCCACTGTAATCAATGAAGTCGCCCAATTAATTTTTGTTGTTGTTTTATAATTAATTTCATGATAACAAAAGTTGACTTTTTCAAATGAATATAATATTCAATACTTGGTACGTCGTTGAATTACATCCTGTAAACGGACATATCAATGTACAATGTATTTGAGGTACTTAATTGGATAAAGAGTAATGCTGTATTGCTTAAAATCGCTTCGTAAATAAGGCATTATATTTCTCGAAAGCCAAAAAGTTATTTTTCACTTTCCTTCTTATAACCAGTTTTTTCTTGATTCCAAAAGTAAACAAGCGTTAGATTACGCGTGATATGATTTTTTCTCGAAAAAGAAGATTATAGTATACAAATAACGCTTGTGTATTCAGAAATCTGACACATTACTTTCCGGCAATCATTTGAAAAAAGCATCCACTTTCAATAAAGAGGAAGCGAATAAACAACATAACCTCCAAACTGCCCTATTTTGGAAAACAAAAACAACTGTCCAGAAAAGTCCTAATTTCAAAACCAAAACGTGGAAACTGTTCTCGATTCCCATGGAACATTGTTAGTACACACGATAAAAATTATGCGTTTGAATGTTGTTTCCTGTTTTGGATGATAATCTTTTATATTTCCGTTAAAATTGTTCATTCCGAAATAACCTTGCAGAACACATGTTTGTCATTATATGTTTCGTTTCAAAGTTTTTATGGCAGTGTGAAGAAAATAATTAATTTTGTAGTGATATATCGATCTATTTTGTTACATTACTAGTTACGACTAACCTCATCAAAAAACAAGTTGTGTGTTTTCAGTACGGAGTCGGAAGAAACTCAATATTACTAAGTTTTTCAACAAAGCTGAAACTATCAGGTAATGAAATATTTTGTAACATTCTGAACACTATCTAAAAACATAATTTATTTGAATAATAATTTTCCTTTCCATTCCGTTTACAAAAGTTTTGCCACAATAAATCAGTTTGGGAACCTTATGAAAGAATTCCCTTCAAAATTTGTTATTGAATTTTCAATTCGATGAAATACATTCTAAATGAAAAAATGTTGCACGCTGAGGCAATCCAGTTAATAGTGAGTTGTTTACCAGCACTTACTATTCGAGTAAACGACCATAACAAGATTTAAAACAATAGCCTCTTGTCACCTGATAATTTCCTTCTCATATTTCCTTTTCTTCAAATTCAATTGCTAACGTCAGTATTGTCGTCGGTTTAGTGGTATCAAGTTCGGTCTCAGTTCGAAAACAACATTTTTCCTGTGCAAGTCGATGCCAAATTAGTGTGGTAGGTAATTAAAACATTTATTTTTGATTTTGGTTGGGTATCAGTATACACAAAAGGCCAAATGTATCGAAAACTACTCTCATGCTTGATGTCTAATATATAATAAACAAGAAAGAAAATCTTATGGAAAATGTATGGCACAGAGAAATTATGAAGCAGGTCACATTTCATATGTCAATTTCATTAGCAGAGTTTGTTTGCTTTCCAACTTTCCACTTCATCTTCCTAATGGGTGAGAAAAATTCCAAAAATATTCAATTGGTAATGGAATGTCATTTGACAGCCTACCTTTCACATTTTCATTCCACTGGCACCTTTCAAAAAAACTAATTAGACAGTTTATCATATTATTTTCACTATAAAGGGTTTTGAATTTCACTAGTTCGGTCTTCCATTGTCTACTATATAAAATGATTTCAATCCCTGAAACAACTAAAAAAGAACAATTGAAAATGAATAGCTGAAAATAACAATTATATTAACCAAATTAAACCTGAAATGAAATAATAGTGAAATAAAATACAAGTAAAAATAGAACAAATAAATATATACCCACTGAGATAGATATAGATAGAAAACTGACTAGTATGCCCACAAGTATGCTTTCCTTATACGAAGAATTGGGCAAATTTGGGATATACGGTTGGAACTATTTATAATTCTTCCTCTCATATCTTAAGAAGGGATTCCGCTTGAGCAACGTAGAATAGTCAATTCTGAGTGATACATTACCATTTGTTTGCCGAAAGTCTTCAAAGAACTTCATGACAATGCGAGCTCTCACACATCTCGTCAAACAGGTGAACTTTTGAGGAGTCAAAACATCGAATTGATAGTCATCCTCGGTATACTCCTGATTTGGCACTCAGTGACTTCTTGTTCCCGAATATCAAAACTAAATTGCGTGGTCAAAAATTTACGAGCGCCGAAAAAGCAGTTAAAGCGTTCAAAAACCATGTTTCAGATGTGTTTCAGAACAAATGGAAAAACTGACAAGGAACGCAAACGTGTATTGATCATTAAAGGGAATATTTAGAAAAGTTCTTATGATGCACTGTTTGGAACCTTTGGTGTGGTAATGAATATTATTGGAGTTTTTTCCCAACACCAAATGAATGACATTCAAAGGGATAGAAAGAAAAATATCTGGTAAATTTACTTGAAGAAATATACCGTCAGGCAGTTTTCATCACGACTTCAAACTCCAATATCGTACAGTATATGAGGTTCTAAAAATTATACCCAGCTCCCCAAAAAGATCGTTGCCTGTTTCGAGGAACGCCACTGGGTGTGCCAAGAAAATAAAAGCAAACCCCAGGTGAATACTGCCCGAAAACGTGTCTCGCTATAACAAAGGGCTTCATTGAAATCAAGAACCGCTGTTCCCTCCTTTGACGATCAATATTTGTCCTACCATGATATAGAACCTTTTTCACATTCATTCCCTTCACATTAAAATTCACGATGCAGTTACACTGACGTCATAACGTCTTTCCCCGTACGACGACAAAGTTGAACATGTGGTTTTTGTTTTACAGGCCGAGGATCGTCTGCCTGGAGTGTTTCGGCATCAAAAACATATGAAAAACTGCGTATATCGATCAAACTTTTGTCAAGGATAACAACAATTCAAATGTGCCATTAAGAAGTAACACAAGGAAAATTGTGCATGTGTTGCGACATGGAATACAACCTTTTGAGTGTTACGTTTTTTATGGCCATCACAACAGCGTGTGTGTTTGCAGCAGGTGAGTAATTTCGAAAAATTTATCACTTGTTTATTCTGGTGTAGTGAAATTATTTGTTGACAGTGACTAGACAATAAAGTTATCATCTATAATGAGCACAGAACCAAGGTATCTGTTTCCGAAGTCATAATAGTACTAAAATTCTGATTCCAACCACTTGCATCAACATGAATGATTGAAATAACATTTCCCAGTTGTCTAATACGCTATTCATTACCATCGAAGAAAAATAATCAAGTCTTCAATTCATTTCCAGTACACATACAACGTATAACAAAATCAAGGACAATGTAGTATTTGATAATATAAGTACCTACCATCGCCAGGTTATTGTACTATGTTATTCAAATGAGGCAGCTTCTCCTCCTTTCACAACAAATATTAAGCTGACAAATTCAAGGCCTCAAAATGTATATTGGAAATATATCATAAAGTCCTTTATGTTATCAAGAACTCAATATATGTAGTTTCTAATAATACATTTGTTATTTTGAAAAATCATTAAGATTTTTTTATTCCTAATATAAACATTTCAAATAATTTTACAACCTATCAAAATCATTAGGTCTTCCAGCTTTCTACTCCTCCATCATTATGCGAAAATATGGAATATATCCCATGAAAGAAAGAAAGTTATCAACTTCAATGAAAGTGCTTCACTAATCTGTCATCACAATTGAAAGTTTTATTTTGATATGTCCTCAAAAAAGTACATTATTTACTGATCTGTTCTCAAAACAAGAAAGCCCTTCTCAAAGCTTTTATCGTACTCCTAACTAATAACGTCCAAGATTGACTACCCTAAACGTTTTCTATTTTGGTAATTCCTTTTTCTCTAAAAAGGTGGTTCTTAATAGGCTGAATAGTGATTTAGTTTTTCCTAGTCCCTCTTTCATTTCTTCATCTTCCATCCCGTATTCATCTATAGTAGTTCCAATGACATTATATCTTTCAACTTGTTCAACATTTTTTCCTACCAATTCTTTCTATCATATCATATTTCCTTCCGTGAATATCGCCATTGTATTTGCCTTAACTGTATTAATCTGTTTGAAATCTGTTTTTCGTTAATCAGCTGTCGCCCCATACGAACGACAACTCTCAGAAGTTGGGAAACTTGTGTGAGCTAAGGACTAACGAGGTCTTACCTTTTAACGTGTGATTCCTAACACGGTTGCAGAATCTTCCCAGCTAATGTCTATGTATATCTTCTTCAGTTCTCAATATTAATATCACGTCATTTGCGAACAATTACTCGTTTCTATACTGTGACTGTTTCCATCATCCAGTTTCCAACAAAATTGATCTTAATACGGTTGATCGCAATGAAATAGATAGAAATGAGAAGTATGTTTCAAATTAAAAAAAATCATGGGGATGTGGACTTGAAACGTACTGGTAAGGAGTAAACAAGGACCAGTAGCTGAAGAAGTATAACATTGACAATCTCATTTTGTCGATGCACGATAGATGTAGGGCCGTAATAAACCAGCGTGGAGGCCATACTTTGTACTGATTCCAATTTTTTTTGTATTATGATTTTTTTTCGGGGTGCCAAAGAAGAGCCATATTTTTTTTAGCTTTGCTTATATGCACACTCAGTATTTTTGACCATTTAATAAATTTTGTTGTAAGTTACATCCGTTTAATAATCACCCGTCAACTTTTTTTTCCTAAAACGATCTAAAAAAAAATTATTGCCATTTTTAAAAATATCCCTAGACTTTTCCGATGTGTGTAGAAAGGTATATGGGAAATAATGAAGTAATAGTGAAAAATATAAATAGTACAACAGTTTTGAGTCACTAAAGATTACTGGGAAAAATCATATTGTTGAAAAAGGACTCTATGTGGGTTGTGGACCACACTATTGAAACCTTCGAACCGATATTGATACAGTTTAATGAATCTTTTTCTGAGTAGGTTTTTTTCTGATCTACAATAGAACGTTTCGTATATTATTTCATTGAATGGTTCAATATTATATTTCATGTATTTTTTTCGAGGGTAATAATACAAGGTCGACTTAGTTGCATCGAGAAAATTCTCAATAGAAAATGGGTATAGATATGAGAATTTTCGTGAAGTTTTCTGTAAGATTTTTGCACACATTATTGTTTTGCATTTATTACTGTACCGATTTTATAAATCATTCGCATCGTAATTATACTTTAAAATAATTTCTCGTCGTTTTTCAGGTGACCTGAATGACCCGTGCCAATTAGTAGAACAATGTAATAATTTTGGAAATTACCACGGATATTACTGTGGACAAAACAGAACCTGTCAATGTATGATGAACTACGTCCCTAATAAACATCGAGATAAGTGTGTAGGAAGTAAGTGTCACTTTAATCTAATCAAGGTTCTTATATAGGGGGGGTTACAAAATGTTTCTGACACCATATTTGTGTCGTCATTGGATGAAAATACATTTTTTTATAATTCACAAAATAAATTCCCATCGTTCATTTATTTCTCAACGACACTCATACACAAGGTGGCTCAATACATTTATACAGAATACACAAATAGGAGTTCAAAAATTCGCAGACTTCAAGCCGGTCAGAATGGTTGAAGGAGGGGAAGCAGTTTGTATACTTTCGAAAAATGACTATTTCAATAAGTTTGCAATTCTCGAAATAAAAACCAACGAATCTCTTGAAATTGAAATGTGTGTCCTTGTTCGTTCGTATTTTCTTCCGTTGACAGAAATCATAGAATGATGCAACTGCCTGTATAACAAAAAAAATCTGACCAATTTTTCTGATAATTCATTTTTGTTTCAGTCATTGACCAGAGATGTGTTTACGACGAACACTGTATAGAAGGTGCTTTTTGTTTGAATCAAAATTTGTGTAAATGTAAATATAACCTGGAACCCAGTCCCGATAAGAGATCGTGTTCACGTAAGTACGTTCCATTCAAAATTGAAACTTGCCACATATTGATTTATTTGTTATGTTCAACAACTTGTTTGAATGTTCATAATAGGAACAAAGTAAACATTTGGTGGTTAAATGTAAGGGCATCACATCATTTCCTTAAGATGTAAAACTAGGTGTTCCACAAGGCTATGTTTTGGGTTCACTACTATTCTTGATTTTTCATCAGTGACTTGCCTGTCACATAATTATTTATTCCGGCGATACTACAGTCACTGCTTCTGGGAAAAACGATAATGTGTTATTGATGAAAATGAATTTATTTATTGACGAATTTAGTAGTTGATGTCAACGTACCAAACTGATTTTCAATAAATCTAAGTCATTATTGATGAAATCATTTGTTAGGAGGGATTTCATTCACCTTTAATGACATCAAAGATCCAAAGAAGTAAATTATCTTAAAACTATTTTGGATGAGAATCTCACCTGAGGTAGTCACATACAAAAAGTGTGCAGTAAACTCAATCCAGCTTATTATTTAATCAAACAGTTGAAACATTGTTTGAATAGGTTTGGTTTACTGAATGTTTACTTTGCGAATGCATACTCCTACATTGGTTCGACATAATGGCTTGGGGATGTGCGACTGATTAATATTCAATCTGGGGTACCAAGAAAGTTGTGGACCAACTGTTGAAAGAGAAGATGTCATTGCCATCGCTCTAGGCTTTGCCAAGCAAACACTGAACACCTGGATGGCAAGAAGATTTATGAACTTATGGCAAAATCTTCCAGGATCAGCTCACTCCACATACTCTGTGCCTGCCCTGCTGCGCACGGAATGAGGTTTTCTGAATTTGGCAGAGCCGCTCGCTCACCAACTGACCCGAAAGATTACTCCCCAAATGGACTGATCTGCCTCGTTAAGAAGCTGGATTTATTCGATCGAATTTGAATAGGTGTGAGCCACAATAAACCCTTGCGGATTGCGGTGGAGGGTTGAATTGACCCACTCACTCTTGATCTAACCTAATCTAAGGGTGATGACGAATGAACTTCTTTTAATTCAAGCGTTGTTACAGTTTCTGGTTGAGTTGAAAACTTAATTTTATTACCTAAAACTATCGATGAACAATCCGCTACTGAAATGGTGGCCTTCGGTATCTCTCTTACACTTCCTTGATTACTTTCAGTTACTAGTATAAATGTTACTTTATATTTCAGATTCCCTGAGATTGATTCCACAACAAATGGTTTTCCTACCTGCAATCATGATATTTTCCTCGAAATATCTCCATTGGTTTCTGTAAACATATGTAGTATTTCCAGAAAAGAATGTGAAGAGAAGAATGAAATCGTTGATGACACCGTCAGTGAAAAAACTCAAAGAAAAAAGACAATGTGTACAAATTTTAGCAGATACAGTGGTAGATAAGTTCATGGAATTGTGATAAAGTGATACTTAAGTATTTTTTTTTATATTCTAGTCTTTTAATTTTTTTTGCTGTTGAAAATAATAGACGAACATTTTTTTCGGTATCGGATAGCACATGCAAACTTTTTAGCTCAGTTATTTTGCAAATTCAAGAGCTTACTTTTTTATTGACGAATATGAAACATTCCGATCATTGGATCATATACAAAATGAAAAAAAATCTTGAAATCTTTCAGAAATTGAATTTATAGAATATTTGATACAACCCAAAATTTATCATTCACTCACCGAAGAATTTTAGAATTATCATGATCATTCATATCGCACAAATAAATTGCAAAGTTTCAATTGTTGAGTGATCAAAAATGTATCAAATCTATGTTCAAAGCGTTATGTACTTAGTATTTCCAATTGTAAATATGTTAATGATTCAATCTTTATTGTTAAATCATTTTGAATTAATAAAATTATTGTATCTTGTTCTATAGAAATATGTAGATACCCTCAACTGAATATTTGAGACTGATTCAGAAGAAATATACGTTGAAAATGAAGCGACTCAGTGAAGAAAAAGCTGATAGTATCAAACTTTTCCAATGCTGAAGACTCCGGCAGAAACTTGGAAGGTACGAATAGGCAGAATTAAAAAAAATATAGCGAAAAAACACCAAGTCAGGCTGATGATTTGTCGTCAGCAGAATTCAAAATATAATATCACACATTTGATAAAAGTATGAAGTCCATATGTTCCTCTTGAAAAAATAATTATCTTTCCTGAAAAGTGATTGTTTCAACAAGTGACAATTTTATCTAATGGCGACAACTTGAATTTCACTTTCATTTCATACAAAAAACTGTCATGGTTACAGAATCACTTCCTAAATACTGACATCTACGTGACCAAATGATCTGCAAGATATTTTTTCCTGCAAGATAGAAACATCACACTTTCAAAGAGACAAAAAAATGAAAACACATTTTTCCAAAATATTAGTAGATATGCTATGAGAGAACTAGAACAGAAGAGGCCGTTTTCTCATGTAACCCCGAAGAAAAAAGGAGGTCCAAAAAGTCACTAAATACAATTGGAAAGTCACCAAAACGTCAGATTCGACAAAAAAGTTACTAGATTTCTTCAAGAAGTCCCTAGATTTCCCCAAAAAGTAAGTAGATTTTTCCCCAAAATCATACATGGAAATTACGATAACTGAATCTAACTTATCGATTTTGTCACTAGATATATTAAAGAGACCCTAGATTCCTCCAAATAATAGTCATTAATCGGACATGGCGGTATGTCAAAACAGCCTATCAACAGCAGTCATGGCGTACCAATTTCACAATAATTGCGTCTAAAAACTTCTAAACGACCCTTCGACTCTTTTGTAGATACATTTTGACGTTTTTCAAACCCATCTTTCAGACGCTTCGTAGACGTTATGTCGACATAACAACGAAGATACGGCTCAGTGTCCTTTTGGCATGCCGTCATGTTCGATTTTTAGGGACTATTATTTGGGGTTTTTGACAAATCTAGTAACTTTTTGGGAAAATACAAAAATGACATGTTAGACCTTTTTTTTTCTAATGTAGATTCAAATGGAAAAATGTCCCCTAGTTATCTCACAACATATCTGCTATTATAAAAAAAATAACTTAATTGTTATATTCTTATCATAACCCTGAAAAAATACACACTAGGGAAACTAACAAAAGTGTGAAATTACAGTAGAACACACAACTGTCACAACCTATTGATTCGTTGACAACTCCAGGAGCACATTTGCAATATCCACTATCACAACTTATTAATCCGGCGTGCCGTGGTGCAACGCATTCCTCATCTTTTGTGCAACTTTCAGCAATGGACAGAGTTCGTATGCAGCGAGTTCCAACTCCATGTTGGCCAACTTCGCAAGTGCATGTCCCATTTTTACAAATGCTCCCTTTCAAAAATGCTGAACACTGGTCGTTCTCTTCGCACATATCACCGAATTCAGTAGCAGCTGAAATAATAATTTGATATCAATGTCAAGTTCTGGCAAAATCGACTGGATATAAAAATAACCCATTAATATGGGTTGGGTTTAGCTTATAAACTTCTTGAGCCACCGTCATGATAATTTTGTCACAATGAGTGCATGTTTGATTGTAGAAAAGAATAAGCCACCCTGTTATTCATATAAATAGATTGAAGACAACCCAAAAAAAAATTGGATCCAGCCTACTGAATAAATCCTAAAATGTCTCTAGTTTTTTGTGTCGGAGAATATATCTGCGTAAAGAAATGGAAGCCAAATTTTTTGAAAACGATGACTTACAAGAACAATGGAAAACCTTTTAAACCAGAATTTTATGATGTTCAGAAAATATTATACAGTGCCTTCATTTCAAAACTTCCCACCCCTAGTACTTTGTTCAGCAGGGAGAATTTGCCGCAGGCAAAAAATAGTCAATTTAGATATCAAGAGAGAAGTATAAAACCATTGCCAGTGGTATTTTAGGTTTAACCCTCTTACCCCTAGCTACCCCCACTTAATAATTTTAAATGGCACCCCCTATCTTGTAACACATCATTTTAAAGATCTTAAAAATCCTCACTCAACCCCGTTTAGAAAACTGAAATTAGTTGATCCGTTGTCAAATAGGGCAAAAAGAAAATTAATTATAATGAAAAATAAAATAATAGCTATTTCAATTAAATAATGTCCTGCGAGGGAGTTTTGTATGTTTTGTATACCATTGTCGTCAAATAACCCCAGAGAAAGAAATCCAATGGCATTAAATCCGGAGATTTTGCCGGCCATTCCAGAGCGCCTCTTACGCCAATCCTTTTGTCAGGATACCATTGATCGAACCACTGTCGGACATGCAATGCGTAGTGTGGCGGTGCGCCGTCCTGTTGAAAATGTAAATTTTGTTCATCCAAGAGCGGGTTGTTTTCTTCATCAACTTTGCGGTCTAAGGACTGTGTTATGAGTGGATCGATAACATTTCTCAATAAGTTTAAATACAATCGACCAGTTAAATTTTCTTCACTAAAAATAGGGCCAATTATTTTGTTTCCCAGAATTCCAGCCCAGACGTTTATTTTTTGTGGATATTACGTATGATCCTCTCGAAACAAGTGTGGATTTTCATTATCCCAGTAACTACAGTTATGCTTAATTACAAAGCCATTAAGAAAAAAAGTTGATTCATCACTGAAGCAAATATTTTTTATCAAATTCAGGTCATTTTGAATTATCGCAGTCATTTTTTCACAAAATTAAATTCTCCTATCATAGTCATCCTCACTGAGTTGCTGAAGAATACTCATTTTGTAAGAAAATAACTTGTTTAGTTTCAAAACTTTGTGTATAGAACCAACTGAAATATTTACTAACTTGGCGACTTTCGAAATTGAAGTAGTAGACTCAACGGCGAATTGGCCTAATATCTCAATCTGTGTGACTTCCGTAAGAACTCTCGGATGCTTGGTTGTACACAGAACCGGTTCAAATTCTTGAACAAGGTCTAGAACATATCGGTGACTCATATTTTGGCCTGCATGCCTTCCATTAAAAACCCGGGCTGTTCCACGACCACACCTATCTTCAGCACCATAAATAACCATTACGATTTGTACACCATTACAATTTGTATTACTGTCAGTGCAACTGACACCACTTGACAAACAGTTTAAAATCAGGAATAACTAATTCTGATGAATGTTTTCACCATTTGATTGTAACTGACGCCAAGAAGCAACTGTGTGCCCTCATCTCACTTTCAGCTAAAGCAAAAAGAGACATAAACTTGCCGTTATTGAGTCAGTGATAGCGGTTCCATAAATTTTTCCATTTTGTTATAATTAATTTTCTTTTTGCCCTATTTTACGAGAACGGATCAACCAATTTCAGTTTTCTAAACGGGGTTGAGTGAGGATTTTTAAGATCTTTAAAATGATGTGTTACAAGATAGGGGGTGTCATTTAAAATAATTTGGGGGTAGGTAGGGGTAAGGAGGTTAAACCTAAAATACCACTGGCACTGGTTTTAAACTTCCCCCTCGATATCTAAATTGTCGTGTTTTTTGCCTTCGGCAAATTCTACCTGCTAAATGAAATACTAGGGGTGGGAAGTTTTGAATTGAAGGCACTGTATATGATTTATACGTTGAGCTAGATTTCGCCAATTGATTATTATTAGTATTATAAATTTATGCAGTGTGTGGATAAGCTGTAAAAATAACTGAAAAAAATGGAAAACCTGTTTCTTTCAGTATGCTACATTTATTATGAGAACGTCAGTGAAACCGATGACTCTGCTTTTTGTAATCCAGAAAAAGGTCCACGGATAATTGAACAAAGCGTTTTACTTCTTACCTTCCAAACATCTCTTTTGATCACGTGACAAAGTATATCGTGTGTTGCATTTACAGTCCACTCGGCATACGGCATTGGGAACTATTGAGCACTGTCTGTCATTGTCACAACGCTCTCCCAGACCTCTCGCATCGATGCACCCCAATTTGTCTTCAGAGGGCACTTGTCTGTCGAATTTGCAAGTACATCGTCCAGACACACAATTTGCAAATGACCCGTCGCTCATCCAACAGTTACCGTCACTTCTACAAAACTCGTCCAACACTGTAATGACCAATTCACATCAATTTTCTCATTCAACAAGAGTCAACAGCATATTAAGAGGTATTTTCATTAAAAATGCAACGTAAATAGCTTCTCCACTTCCAACTTCTGAAAAGGATGAGATATCGACGTCACACATCTCAACTACAACTGTTAGAGTCATATCAAGTGATCGAGTGGGTCATTCTCAGGGACCACGTTCGACTAACTACGGTTTACGATATTTAACAAACTCACATTAGTTTTCAACTGATGAAAGATTTCAGTAAGACGGGGTACCTCCTCATTACTACAGATATCCTCATACAAATATCCAAACCAAAATAAATAAGCAAACATGGTCTCTTAGAATAGCCTGCTAGGCCACCTGATATGGCGCCCTCAATTTTTTGTATAGAGATTTGTCAAACGTAAAGTATACATTTTACAATCGCAGTTTATTTCAGAACTTTTGGATAGAACACGATATGCTCCCACCAAAATTACCCCAAAAATATGCAAAAATTGTATTTATAAGCAGACTTCATTATTGGCGCGAAGCGATTTCAATTGACTGGAGTGCATTTTGAATAAATTTTTTCTGTACATAATAATGTCTGTTTGCAGAAAAACAATTGTTTTCTTGCAGAAGTTTCGAATTCAATTTAATTATTCCTCATGGCTCGAAAATTAGTTTCTTTGTGTTAATAATATACCAATTTTTTTCTCAAAAAACAATTGTTTTCTTGCCGACGTTCGGAATTCAATTAAATTCTTCTTCTGGGCTCGAAAATTAGTTTCTTCGTGTTAATAATATAAGTCTGGAATACTTCATCGGTTAATTTTTTCTGCAAGTCCCTATATTTCATAAATATCTTCAAGAATAGACCTATATTAGAAGTGATTATGAAAATGTTGGTTTATTATCTGGAGGGTTTCATGTAGCAACAGATCTCTCAAAACAATGCAGTATCACTCTCACTTTAGATGAAAAAGTAGGTCGAAAAGAGTAGTGGTACCTTTTCGGAAAATAAAAATATCATTTTCTACTTACATACTGAAACGTAGCATCTTCCATCAGAAAATAAATGATTTCCGGTTTTACACCGGCAAACGCCAGAAGAACATTCTGCATTTTCTGTCAACGTCAACTGACACTGGCGGTTATTCTCACATGTTTCCCCATATTTTGCGGCTGTAAAAAATAATCAGTGAACTAATAAAATCTGGTTGAGCGGACAACATTCCGGAAAAACATCCAGCAATCTTGAACAAAATACTTTTTGGTATTTTATCTGATCAATAATTGAACAGATAAGATAAGATTCTTTGATCTCGAGAAAAACGCTGTGCAATGCATTCTTCATTTTTGAAATCTATTTTTCTTTCAATATAGCGTCGAAAAACAGTTGAAGAGTTCAACACTGAAGACAAAAACATTTGATTCAAATTTGAAATGTTGATAGTAAGTAAGCCAACTATGACGCGTTAACCTCAAAAACGTGAAATGGAGATATTTATCAGCTAAAAGCAGCCTCCGTAATATAATGAAGTTTTAATAGGAAACATGTTGATTATTCATCTGAGAAGTGTTGAAGAAGTTGAAATAAAATAAAGACAACCCCAGGTATTGAGCTGGACCCAATTGCGCCTGAATATAAAGCAGCGGCCAATAAAGAAAGAAGAAGAAGTTGAAATAGAATGTGATGTGGTGTATATCAGAGCAACAATATATTGTTCTGAGTGGTGTATGAACACTTGTGAATTCTATAGTTTGTATTGTGCAAAAAGAAGGCAATACATGATGATCAGAAAATAAATAAATTGATGGATGTAGCCGTTACTACGTGGTAGGAAATAATAATGAAGAAAAGAGAAATGAAACTTTCTTTGTTTTTACCACTTTTTCTGTAACTAACGTTACTGAAGTTTCGTCCTATACATAGTTCAATGTATATGTTTGAAAATGTCCTTATATGACGAAACTGCAGTAACTTTAGTTACGAATAAAAGTGGTAAAAAACATAGAAAGTTTCAAATCTCTTTTCTTCGGAAAATAAATTAAGCTGGGTAGTTTTCAATCTTTGAGTTGGTGAAATGTTGTTATTACTGCTATTTATTAACAACAAAGGTACTAATTCTACACATTCCTTTCCAAATATCGAAAATATTCAAAAAAATATAGCCTATTCTTGACAGTCAAAATTGAATAAGCTGATGAGCACCGTGATATTTTTTAGAAGTATTGAGATGAACAAAATTTGTTCGTATGGAGTTCGTCATTACATATTTTTTACGAACCTACAAACATTTTTATTGATCCATAAAAATTTTCACTCGCTACTGATATTTTACATACATTTCGATAATTGAATTTACTAAATTGATGAATATTAGGAATGATGAAGAGTTTGCTGAACATCGTTTCTGTTTAGCCGAATAAATTGAATAGTTTGGTATTGAACATAATGAATGTTCCTATTGGTTTATTGAGATTGAAAATATTTCTTATACTGACTGGCAGAAGATTTAATAGTTTTGGACCATGACAGAAAATACATCTCTATGTGTGACTTTCATCAAATGCTGGTAGGTTTATGGATGAATTAGTGCCGAATCTTTTCTGTTTCTCTTTGTTTGTTGATTGAAGTGTGAATTTGTTTGTGTACAGACGTTCCACGTGAATCTCTCTTTGAATTATCCAAATCCGACATTTTGTTTAAAAGTTACAGTAAGTATAGAAAAAACCATGAAACTATGTTCATGTTTAGATAAAAATTGCAACTCTAAATTGCACTCGTGCGAAGCCAAATCAGTTTACTGTGTGTAATTTTGTTAATTTCTTCATTATTGTATCTTTTGTATCCGCTTTGCTTGACTATTCCTATACCATCATGTTGTTTTGTCCAATGGGAAGAATAAACGAATAAAAATTGCCTTTAGACCTATTAGTTTCATATCCTTTGCATTGAAGACATCAGAAAAACTAGTTGACAGGCATTGTAGGATTGACATAGCAGTGGCTACCATACCAACATAGAGACCAATATGTATACAGATTAGAAATGTTGACGGAAACGCCGTATCATGAAAAAAGCAGGTTATGCTCAAAAGAACAGATAAGGGCTTCAAGCTGCTTTTTTCTGTATCAAAAACCTTTTTGATACTACTTTCCTAGAATCAATCATCTATGCGTCGGGGAGGAGAGAGAGAGAGAGAGAGTTTAGAGAAAGTTTCTCATACACAACCATCTCGGGAGAGACAATAGTGGCAAGAGTAGCAAGGAGGTTTTGATACCTAATGTTATAGAATCTTGTAATGGACGAGTTACTACTACTTCTCGACCATAATGTATATCAAGTAAGAGGAGATGCAGACGACTAAGTCATCCCAGTCCAAAGAAAATTCAATAAGGAACGTATGAAGCAGACTCTGAATATCATAACTAGATAGACCGATAAAGGAAGGGGCTGACCACATGTACAACGAAATCGACCGTTCACCAAGAGGACCAAAACAGAGGGGCCCAGGACCTCTACAACTGACCAGATATGATATATTTGCTCTACATCGTGAAGGTTAAACGTAGGTATCTATGGTCTGGTGGCCAGAGATGAAACAAACGACTGCTTTTAATAAACCAAGCTAAATGCAAAGACTTGCATGTTTGGGAATAATAGGAGTAATGGAAATCATCCCATCAACTGCAGTGGAGACACTATTGAATCTTTCATCTTTATATTCTGTAATGACAGGGAAAGCAAGGGTGGACCAGTTTAGACTGATACACACTGAATTACAACAAAAACATATTCTTGGACTACATGACACTGAAATACATGTTCGACATAAACTTTTGGAGTAATATCAGACCGCGAGAAGTGGAGAATAAACAATCTTTTCGATAAAATGCTCGGCAGAAACATCTAGCATACAGACGAGACGGCATGGGTTGGTAGCTATAATTTTCTATGAGGGCATGAATCTCCATTTCTGTCATCCACTTGGCCAGACAAATCAGTTTCACAGGCTGAATTGTATGCTAAGCCGATCAATATCTTCAGAGGCAGTCAGGCTGCACCTAAACACTGATTAGACCAGAAGTGACATTGAGACTAGTCTGGAAATATCGTAAAAAACTGAGGAAACTGGTAGACATCAATAGATTGACTATATATTGAGTGCCGAGTATCACAGGCAACGAAAAAGCTGATGAGTATGCTAGACACATACCACCAATTCTATATGAAGGCCCAAAGAACTGAAGAACTACTTCAATTAAAGTAACAGCTCAGAATTATACTCGACACTATCCATGAGAGGACACTTGAACAAAATAGGGCTGTACAATGGAGACCTTACCTAGTTTATGTGGATGGATTACAGGAAGCAAAAAAATTATGGACAATCCGAATTATGTCCAGAAGAATATGACATATATCCAGCAAGGACGTGTACAAAGCAGTATCGGAAAATAAATTGTTGAGATGAATGTCATGAAGAAGATTGAGGGAAAAGGCCTCCCAAATAGCAGAACAAAAAAATAACATTTTCTAAGATTCCAATTTTTTTTAAATAATGAAATGTGCAACATTCATCGTAAATATGTAGAAGTGTCACTGATGTTATATTACTTACCAAGTGACTGTTCTAACAATTGCTGTTCTTCTTGACTAATACAACTTGCAATCACAGTGAATATCACAAAAATTTCACATAATTTCCGAATCATATTCAATAAAATAGTCAGCTATATACAATTACGAATGGCATGTGCTTACAGAGAGACGTACTTAATATCTCTACTATGATGAAACAGGTGGAGTAGATAAAATTATTTGTTATTGATAAGGAATCAACAATTTTATGGATGATTCAACGCCACATCACAAAATCCTTATTGCCTCAGTTCATTTTAGTGGCAATCAGAATGTCTCACCTATATTTCAGAAAAATATTCAATATGGAATACACTATCTCTTCTTGGAATGTTCGTTGAAAAACCGCACATTAAATTTCAATTTGAAAGTGGAGTAACTCTTTGCTAGGATCGCACATTAATACCACCTAAATCAGCTCGTGATTCGAATTTGTTTATGTTGAATATATCAACTTGAAACGGTAATACTTATATTTCTTCACCAGGACTATTTTCATTTCTTGAACGAGTCAAAACGCTAATAAATGAAACTGACATTGATGGAAAGCATCCTAATAAAATCAAAACAAAAAAATAGAAAAATAATGCGAATAACCAGTGGCTACTTGAATAAAAAAAAAAACTAATAAGTGAAATGCAGTATGTAAGGAAGTATGAACAACTATTTCAATTTAATAATAATTTCACTTCATGAAATCTGCTGAAAAATTCTTTTTTTTTCGGTAACCAGCTGTCATCTCTCTATGAACGACTATCTTTAGGAGTCGAAACTTTTGCGAGCTGAGGATTAACGGGGTCTTACTTTTTAACGACGATAATGTACCTGCTCACTTGTCATTGTTTGTTCGTCATTTTTTGACTAGAAACAACTCGCTAATCATGCCTCAACCGTCGTATTCACCAGATTTGCCCCCCTGCGACTTTTTCCTGTTCCCAAGATTGAAGAGACCCATAAAATAATGGCGTTTAGCGATGATTGAGGAAATAGAAACTGAATCAATGAGAGAGCTCAAAGACATAGCAAATCTCGAGGATTGAAAAAACGGTATAAATCAATATTTTATATTTTTGGAAAAAATGAAAATTCGCCGTATTTTTTTAATAGACAGCGCGTAAAATATAACCACGTATGAAATATATTTTGTTTCAGATCAGCAGAAAACCTTCCATTTGTCGATATAGTCGATATATAGATCGACTTATCGAAATCATTTCATACAGTAGCTCATATAAAAAGCATTGAATGTCTTCTGTGGTGTGTCTTGTTCATAAATAAATGTTTTATAAGAGAAAACTTTTTTCCTATATCATTTTTCTACCATAAATCTCAATCATAGCAAGTTTACATTTAATAGTTATCTCTGTAACATTTTATCGTACAGAGCACTCCAAATCTCATAATGAACAGATATTCTAAATCTAAACTAATGAAGAAATATTCTCATATACCCTCCTCAAAACAATTTAATTTCTGAAGTATATTTTAGACACTCTACACAGAAAAATTATATAAATTGTCCTTGTTCAATGACACACTTGATATTTGTGATTACCATTTGTGAAGTGTGAACTTAAAAGTACAGAAAGTACCCAAAAATGGCATATCAATTTCCAATAACCAAGTTTATCTGAAGAAAAATTGAAAAAGTCGTTGTAGAGCGTTTGCATTCAGAGAGACGACAATTGGAGATTTCATAGTAAAATTTCAAAATATTTTTGTTATACAATTTCAAACTTACTTTTTGGAATAAGTTGTTTTCTTTACTCCACCATAAACGAAAAACTCTATTGCTTCATAAGTGTTGCACTGGATAGAGTATAAATAACTCGTTTTCAAGTTAATTGCATTATTGGTTGCCTATACTTTGATGGAGTAACTTGCATCCCGACACTGTTCTATAATTTGTATTATAGCAACATTCTCCTTTTCCCAGGCAAATTTATAATTTTCTTGAAATCACGTTCAAGCGCTTATCTACTTAGATCAAGTGCCAAAAAAGGTATTACCACTATCAAATAGATTTATTCACAATTGAAGATTGATCGTTCTCGAAAAAACCTGGATTTTGGTAAAATTTCATACTGGACAAACATTAATAGAAATTGATTCAGATATACACCCCCTTGTCCCCCTCTTGGGTGCGCCCGTGCTGTAACTGCTTTCAGGTACATACATCCAGAGATAATCGAGAAAAAATAAAAACTCCAATATATCTTTTTGTAGTTTCCTTTGGGCAGTCATATTTCCAAAATCTAGATCAACACGTGCTAAGAGGGCACGTGTTTCCTTCTACTGATGATGCTAACTGGGTTAGCGAAACTCGCATCGAAAGAAAGAATTTCTGATCTTGTGAGGAGAAAGTGTTCTCAATAAATCCAAAAACAGTATTTTAATAAATAAGAACTAATATTATTGTTTGTATAAATATAAAAATTCATTCATTAAAACCAAATACTAAGACAATCACTATATCGGAATGAATTCAACAATCACATTTTATGTATAAATTTTGTGAATTATCACAATCAATGATTCCACAGGAAAAATATTGTAAATAGACACAGTCCGATCTTCATCAAAATAGATGTGCTCTGATTTCGAGAAGCCTCACCTGAAAAAAATATGAAAATTATTATGGATACACTGTCCCGTTATTCGATGAAAATCAATGACACAGTCCATGATGATAATTATACAATTTTCATAATGAATTTTATTCAAGAAGCGTTTCACAGCACGATAGTTTCACCAATACAACTAATGGAACTGCCTTGTAGTAAAACGCATCTTGAATAAAATTTATAGCCAGAAAATTGTATAATTCTCATCATGGATAATAGAATCAAACAAAAAATTATTGTTTGTTGATGAATCTACAGAATTAATTGAACCGTTTTTGCATCTTTTCAGTTTATTTCTATAAGAATTATTTGGCAATAAAGCGGCATTGAAAGCACTGTTCGATGTTGGTTTGCGAAATTCCGGAGATGTTAGCTTCGAAGATGAAGACTGACCCATCCCAAAACGGGGCCGGTGCGGGAAATGGCGGAAGAACTGGGTGTCAGCGCCCATGCGGTTTTTGATGGCTCAAAACGTATTGGGAAAATCAATAGGCTGGAAAAGTGGGTGCCCCACGATTTGAACGATCGACAGAACTCGTCACGTTTCAAAGTCTGTTTTTCTTTGCTGTTGAGCAATCAAAATGATCTTTTTTTGGATTGGATCGTCACGTGTGATGAAAAGTGAATTCTCTACGGCATCAGGAGTCGTTCGGGACAGTGGTTGGATAATGATGTGCCTCCCAGTCACTTCCCAAAGGCACTAAAAACCTGATTTGTTCCCGAGCGGGGTGGACACAAAGTATGTGCTCTGCTGTTTCATCATTTTCCAAACAGAGTCGACACACACTGTCTTAAGACAGTCCAACTCTCTGCATATGAAGGTCTATGAAAAGGCCTGTAAGAAGGCCTGTTAGACGTCGTAGTTCATCCTTACTGTAGTCCAATAATTGTTTCGTATCAAACTTCGAAGGGTAAATAAACGCCTTGGATTGAGTCGATCCTGAAAGGTTTTGCCAGAAGTCCATAAATCTTCTTGCCATCCAGGTGTTCAATCTTTATTTGGCAAAGCCTAAAGCGATGACAATGACAAGTTCTGGTCCGATTAAGCTGCTTGCAGCACCCTTCTTCACAAGGGAGTCAGCAGCCTTATTGCCTTTCAGGCCAGTATGGCCAGGAATCCAGACCCGAGATAATCTGTTAAATCTTTCTATCGAGGAGAGTCGTTTTTGGCAATTTGCTACCAAATTAGACGTTGCTCAGTAGGAGTTTATGACGTTGAATTCTTCCAATCTCCCAGCACACAATTCAAAAGCGTACATTTCTGCTTGAAATACACTCGCATAGTTTCCTAGGTAGGGTGATATCTCTGTCCTGGGTCTGCGACTGAAAACACCTGCACCGGAACCGGAAAGTGTTTTTGATCTATCTGTGAACCAACAACTATCTGCTCTTAATATTTTCTCCTGCCGGAGGATGCAGTCCCCTCTACTCGGGAAAGTACTTTATAAGGCAGTTCGTAGTTGATAGTTGGAGGCATAAAGGTCATTTACAGAATACTGTGACTACTAGTGTTAACCAACAGTCTGTTGCACTCTGCATTAAATTGATTTGTCCAATTGGCAATGTGAACAAGTCTATATGCAGTCCATCTAGCTTGTCTCTCCAGAAAAATGTAGAGAAGGGGGAGATCTAGAAGGATCTTCATGGGCGCTGACGGTGTGGTACTGATCTGAGCCTGACTCTGTGAGCCAGAGAGCTTCGCCTTCGGCCACCAGGCAATTGCTTTATAAGTGATCATTGTTCTGACAATAATTACATAAATCCAATGGATTTGTTTGGGACCTGAACCCCAAGTTTTAGCACATACATACATAGGGGCAGTCTTTGTGTAAAACTTTCTTCAAGTGAGCGTTGCAGGAGAGTATTTTATTATGGAAAATACCAAGATATTTCACCTTCGTTCCAAATGGAATGAGCTCACCATAGAAGGAAAGTGGCGTTAGATCGTCCAATTTTCTCCTCTTGGTGAAGGGGGTTATCACAGTTCTGCTGGAGTTGAAGACATCTGCTCCCTCAGGCACCAACTGTGAACAACGTCCTTCGTGCTTTGGATGATATTACAAGCTACCCTTTCCGACGTGGACTTTGCCAAGATGACAAGATCATATCCATAAGCTTGCAGATCTACTTTTCTTCTGTTGAGGGCATTAAGCAGACTATCCATCAGGAGCGACCACAGAAGGGGAGATAGTACCCCACCTTGAGGGCAGCCTCAGGTGACCCTGAACCTAATGGCCTCCCCTTAAAAAGTCGTAGTTGGAGTTCTCTTTAGCAGCATGTTATAGATCCAGCTAGTTATGGTCGATTCTATACCTTTCCTACCCAGGGATGGTGCTATAGATTTAGGTAGTGCATTGTCAAATACTCCTTCAATATCGAGAAATACAACAACTGCAATTTTCTTGTTGTCAAGGGATTGGGAAATTTTCTCTACAAAGTTGTTCAATGTTGAATCTGTCGATTTTCCGGTTTTCCGTTTTTCAGAAGTTATTTGAAGAACAGAAAACAGAAAGTACGAATACAAG